CAACGCCAACAAGAGGAGAAAAACACAGCAGGAATTAAACAAAGCTTTGGCATGTCTGAGGGAAAGATCCCTGCAGTGACTCCTTTGGCCCTGCAGGGCTGAGTGTCCCCATCACCCTGGACTGGAGCTCTGGGATCCTGCAGCCCTCACCTCAGCTGCTTGGGGAGCTGAGAGAAGGGCACTTCAACATCCCTGTGCTCAGCTGTGTGAGGTGAAGGACAGGGAAACAGAGGAACACTCCCAGGAAACACTCTGTGAATTACCTTGGCTAAATCCAGCGCGTCACGAGGGAGCTTGGGATAGCGTTTCTCCAGGGATTCCAGCTCCTTCACCTCGGGCAACTTCATGCCAGCAAAGAGGGGGTTTTTATAGAATAACTCCTGTTGCCTTGGGATCAAGTTACCTGGAGTCAGGCAAACAAAGCAGCCACATGGAAAATACAGGACAGTGAAACACGTGAGAGGCTGAAATGCTGGGTCAGCACTGCAGTAAGGGCTACAGCCTGGCTTGTTATCTTCTCACCCGCCAAAACAAATCTGAGCCCCTCGCTCCTGAGCAAGCCCGAGGGGCTCTTCTTACCCAGGCACTTGGTGATATGGTAGAGCTGGTCAATGTCTGAGTCTCCAGGGAAAAGGGCCTCTCCTGTAAGCATTTCTGTGATCAAGGCGCCGACGGCCCACACGTCCACAGGCCTGGGGGGAAAAACCACCAGCTCAGCACAGCTCCAGGGATCCAAAGGCTGAGGCAGGGATGGAGCACCCCCTGCGTGCCCCCCACAGCCCTTCCCAGGCTGGCAGGCCGGGCTCACCTGCCGTATTTGCTGTCCCCCACCAGCAGCTCCGGGGCTCTGTACCAGCGGGTCGCCACGTAGTCCGTGTAAACTTCCCCGGAAGTCGCCAAGGGCCGGGCAAACCCAAAGTCGCAGAGTTTCACAACTCCTGACTGGGAAACCAGTATGTTCTCTGGCTTAATATCCCGATGGATTATCTGCACAGGGAAAAGGAAGTCAGGCAAACTCCCTGTTTGGACATAGCAAACTGGCTGGCTCAGCAAAAAGTGCAGCTTTCTCATGTTCAAGTAGAAAATTACAGGTGAACACAGAACCTCTAATTTCAGACACATTTGTTTTATGCATCTCTTCTCCTTTTCAGACAAAGCTCTATTTCTCTAAGTTCAAATATATATAAATACAAAAATACAGGCTTCTTTTCTAATATATATCTATTGATTGTAGCTGCAGAGCTGATTTCTTGCACACACTTACATTGTGGCTGTGACAAAAGGCAATTGCTCTCAGGATCTGGAATAAGTATCTCCGAACCCTGTCGCAGTCCAGTCCACTGGGAGAGTCCTCGAGGTCATTGAGCACCGTGTGATCCACAAACTCAAACACCAGGTACCACCGCTTCTTCCTCTTGCACACATCCAACAGGTTCACCAGATTCTCGTGCCTCAGTTGCTGTCAAAAAACAAGGAATGTTTAGTGAGGGAAAACACTCAGTAAAAGCTATAAAGGGAATTTTTTTAAAAAATATTTTTTGCAGTTAATTTTTTTTTAACTGCAGCCCAGCTGGGACGGTACCAGAAAATGCAACTTGAATAAAAAGAGGAAGAAAAAGCAGCTGTATTTTCTGGTTACTTTGTCACGTGTATTTTTGTTTATTTTGTGTCCCCAGCAGCCAAGAATCCACCTCCCATTTGTTACACATTTATCACACACCGACACAAAAGGCCGTGCTACAGAGCACAGTTATTTATTAGCTGGAGCCTGGCAGGGAAACATCCCTGGAGGCAGCACCAGAGCCCAGGAAGATGCAAAAGGACTGAAGAGCACAGGGAATTGTAGGGAAACTCTGCCAGTGCAGAGGCAGTGCCACCAACCTGCACCTGTGCCTGCCCAGACTTCTCACAAGGTCTGACAAGAGTTTTTAAAGGGTAATCAGTAAGAGGAAAAGCTCTTTTCCCAGGAATGATTTATTCCCCATACAAGACCTGAAGAGTTTTTTGCTGTTTTCAGACAATTAAATTTCTGCCCAAACTCGATAGGAAAAAAAAAAAAAATTAAAAATTAAAGCCAAAGATTGACAGGGAACAAGGGAAGGAACTACAAAGGGACTAAACCTCCAGGTATTTATTTCCCCTGTGAGAGGCCACCCTTCCTTTATATGCAAATCTTTCCCCTTGCAAAGATTCCATTCACCCAGGAAAACCAGGATAATTCCCAGCACACCTGGGGGCTGCTCAGTGACTCGGAGCAGGGACAATCCAGGCTCACACAGATCCACTTTAGAAGGGTTTGAAGGGATAATGCTTGGAGCTGGATACATTTCTATTAATTCTAATTCTGCAGCTCGTGCAGTAATGGCAAACACCATTTTTTTCCCCCTTCAGTGCACAGGAACTGTAAGCTGCCAGATTTAGAGAGAGACACTTGTGGCAGACAGGAGGACAGGACACAGCTTTGCCAGTATTCCCACCTCTGGAACACCCCACATCACAGGAGCAGCCTGGAAATAAAGTTTTCCTTATTTTTTTTCACCAAACACATCACCTGGGTCCCAATGTTCCAAACTCCCACATGTGCCCAAGCACACGGGACAAGCATTCCTGTAGGACAAGAGAAGCACCCTCAGCACTCCAACAAGGAATAATTTTTTCCTGATATCCAAACAAAAGCTGCTGTCTTTCAGTTTGAATCCATTCCCCCTCGTCCTTCCCCCCAACAGTGACACCAGGCAAATCCCACACTCCAACACCAAGGGACACAGCTGGCTGCCACACATGGCTCAGGGAATCCCACAGGAGTCCTCCTCCAGCCTCTTGCCTGCCAGGAAGGTGCCGTGGATAGAAAAAAAAATAAAGGAAAACTTTCCTAGCAGCGTTTTCCCGTCTCAGGTGACACCCAGCCCGTTCAGTGTCACATCCCCAGGCCCTGAAAGGTCAGCGTTTCTCCTATTTCCAGCAGCATTTGGGACAGGGGACAGCCACCACCAGGCGGCAACACAGACCGCACCATTCCCTGGGCACGCCAGAACATCCCCAGCCTTTCCCAATCCGGGATTCGCCAGGTGCATCCATCCCAGCTCTCAGGCCAACGGAGAGGCAGCTCTGCCAGGCTACGGCACGGCAGGTTCCATGGATCCAGCCCAGGGGAACGAGTTCCAGCGGCGCCCAAGCCCGCCTCACCTTGAGCAGCTTGATTTCCCTCAGGGCGATTTTCCTCACCGCCGCGTCGTCGTCGCTCTCCAGGAACTTCTTGACGGCCACGATCTGCCCGCTCTCCCTGTGCCTGCACTTGGTCACCATGCCGTAGCTGCCTTCCCCCACCAGCCCCAGCACCTGGTACTTGTCCATGGCGGCGGCGGAGGGCCCGGGCCGGGATGCGGGCACGGGGCCGGGATGCGGGCGCAGCGCCGGGATGGAGGCACCGCGGCCGCCGCCGCCTCCCGGCCAACGCGGCGTTACCGCGGCAACGGCCCGCCGTAAAGCGCGGCCGCGCCCCGCCTGTCGCGAAAGGCGCCCGGCCGCTCGCTGGGCCCTTGCAAAGGCCTCATAAAGTGTTTTAAGGGTTAAATGTTATAAAGGCTGCTTTCTAAAGCCGCTGGGGCGAGTAAAGCGGGCTCAGCAATCTTATATCTTGTGGGGTGTGTTAAAAGCCCAGCCTGAATCCATGCAGTGCCTGTTCCGTGTGTGGACAGGAGGTTGCGGATGTTGCCAAGGCTGAGCCGTGAAAAAGGCGGAATAATTTGGTTTTTAGGTGCCTGTGCCGGTGGCCTCACTGTGCAGTTCACCTTACAAAGTTGTCTGCACAATGTGACAGCGTGCATGAGCCTGCTGCCTTTGAGGGGAAGGAAAGCTGGAGCATCCCTGTGGGTGTACCTGGATTTTCAGCCAATGCATTCTCAATCCAGCATCCCCTTGTTCCTTCCATCCAATGGTGGATGGAGCAACCCATGGTCTGGCCTTCTGCTAACACTGACTTCTCACGTTCTGGGCAGGACACGTGTAGGAAAACAGCTCCAGGAACAAACCGCAGGAACAAAGGCATTCCGTGCGGATATTCCCAACATTCCCGCCTCACTCCGGTGGCCTCTGTGTCACAGCTGAGGGCACTGCGGAAAAAAAGGTGTTCAGTTTCTCTGAAGGAATTCACGAACGCCTGTCAGGCTGGAATACTGCAACAGCGCTCTTTGGGAAAGGAGCAGTATTCCCCTTGCCAAAATGTCCATTTCCTGGAAAACAGTGTAACGAGGAATCATATCTGGAACCTGCACTGTATTCCTCCCGAGTCACATCGATAGGCATCACCTTCTGTAAGGAATTCCTGGTTGCTTTTATGCCTCCCTCGTCCTCTCTCCCTACATGCCGCGGACAAGGGGGAATGGCTCACACCGAAAGAGAGCAGATTTCATATTAAATTGGAAATTAGGAAAAAACTCCTCCCTGTGGGGGTGGAGAGCCCCTGGCACAGAGAAGCTGAGGCTTCCCCATCCCTGGAAGTGTCCAAGACCAGGCTGGACGGGGCTTGGAGCAACCTGGGATAGTGGAAGTTCCACTCAAACCCAATCTGTGATTCCGTGGTTTGGTGTTCAGTGTGGAGCTGTGATTCAGGGATCTACAGAGACCAAAAATGAGGGATGACCCTCACTAAACCACCCCGTGCCCGTGCTCCAGCGGCTGCCACCCCGCCGGCACTGACCCCCGCTCACCGGGGGCACACCCTTCTCTCCCCCCTCACAACACCGGGCACCTTGAACGGGATTCCTCTCGCCCACAAGGCCATTTTCCACCCTGCCCACGGGCACCACCCTGCCGTATTTTCCTCCTGTCAGAACACGGGCTGCGGGATTCCGCGGCCCGGCCCGGTGCCCGTGAGGGGCGGCGTTCCGCGGCCCGGTGCATGCGAGGGGCGGCGTTCCACGGCCCGGTGCCCGTGAGGGGCGGCGTTCCGCGGCCCGGTGCCTGTGAGGGGCGGGCCGCCGTGGCCGATGATGCCGGTGTCAGGGGCGGTGCCGGCGAGCGCAGCCATGAGGCTGTGCCGGCCCTTTGTTGCCGGGGCTCCGCGGCCGCCCCTGCGGCCCTGAGCCCGCCGGCAGGCAGCGGGAGCTGTTCCCAGCAGGATGCCATGGGGAACTGCTGGGCGCGGTGGTGCTGCGGGCTGTTCCTCCGGAGGGATCCCGGCCGCATCCAGCGCGGCGGAGGGTGAGCAGCATCCAGCGCCGCTGCCCCTTTCCCCTCCCCGGGGCGGGGAGGTGCCGGGCCCGCCGGCTCCGCCTTCCCCGTGGGGCAGGAGGGGGCGGCAGGGTGGGATGCGGGGTCGGGGCGATCCCGGTTCTTTTGGGGAGCCCCGGCGTGCCGGGAGCCCGGCGGGCTCGGCGCGGCTTGGGTCGGTGCGCTCGGGGTTCGTGCACTTCCAGGGTCAGCGGCTCCTCAGCCCCGGTGTTTTTCCGGCAGGAGGTGCCTGGAGGGGTTTTCCAGGTCAGCTGCCAAAAGCCGTGCAGGCGGCCGTGCTTGTGCGAGAGATGGAAAAACACCCGGTTCTCTGCAATGTGATCTCGTCCTCGCCGTGAGTCAGAGGCTGAGCCGCTGCTGTTGGGATAAATCAGGAGCAGAATGGTTCAGATGAACTCATGTCTGTTGCAGAATGGCTCAGAGGAATCCTTATCTCTTGGAAACGTGCGACAACCTGTTTCGTTCTGCCGCAAGCAGTTCACGGAAAAGCACTGTGCAAACAGGAAGTGCTTGGGCTTTTTCCATATCCTGACCGGCTCTGGATACCCACACATCACTTATTTTTTTGATGTGTTAGGGTAGAAATCATTCTCAGCAGATACGCTGGGCATTTTACATGATGCAAGCTCGTGGCCTCTTGCTTCACACCAGCTCTGGCAGGCGAGTCTCACCTTCCAGACAAGCTGCTTCTCAGAGACAGGGGTGAAAAACCAGGGCAGTGCATGCAGAGGATACCTGCTTGTATTTCCAGTGCTCCGCCAGAGGGGATGAGAGCACCCCCAGCGCCTTGACAGCTGGCACTGAAATAGCACTTTGCTGTGCTTTGAGAACACCAGGCAGTACTTGAAAGCTTCTTCTTCCTGTGTGCTTTGCTGAGTCTCCTTCCACAGGCCAATAGCCCTTTTTTCAGCAGGCAAATCTAATCTAGTGACAATTTGAGTGACAAAAAGTTTACTGCCAATCCCTGCACGTGTTAGTCCAATCCCAGGCTGTCCTGACCAGTGAAACAAATCTCCCTGCCTGCTGCTGTACTGTCTGATTGTTCAGGTGTTGCACAACCTGCAGCGAGTGTCTGAGGTTCAGGTTAGCTTTGTTTTCCGGGTGTGGTGGTGGTGGTGGTAGTTTACAGAGCAGTGTCAGAGTGTTGGGCTTCTTCTCCTTCCACTGAGCAGGGAATTCTATAAAAACCAAAACTGTAAAATGTGGCGTATTAAAAAGTTAGATTGATAGCACATTGTCCACATTTGGCTGTTTCTGGAGCACCATAATGTAAAAACGTACCTTATCAACTTAATGATTACTTCAGTCGCTCAGATCCTCCCCCCACCTCAGCTTCCTTATTTTTAGATGCTCCAGGATTTGCCTGTAAGAGATAAACTCCTAAAGAACTAAGTACAGAGTTTTCAGTAAGGTTTTCAATATCCTGGAAGATTGTAAGTTGCCTTTGCTTGGAATTCTGCAGCTTTACATATATATATATATATATAAAGCTGATATATTATATATATATATAATTCTGCTGCTATATATATATATATATAAATTATTCCATATATATATATATGGAATTCTGCTGCTTTATGTATGTAAACATTTTCATAGGTTGCTGATCCTTCACTTGAAGCTTTGTGTAGGGGTGAAGCTGGTGGGTCTTCCATTTGTGTCCCTGATGACCTCAAGCTTCCACAGTTGCCTTGAAAGTGGCCTCTGCCCTCTGGTTTCCCAGCAGTGAATCCTCTGGAAGAGGTTCTTTAGTGGCAGGAAAGGTTGTGCAACAAGGAACCAGTGGGTAGAGCAACAAGTTGCCAGGGGAGACGCTCCCGAAAGTGGCTTCCAAAGAAAAATGAGATGGAGATGAAATCTGGTACGGTTAAAATAATTCAGGCTTTGGCTGGGGTGTTGTTTTTGTTAGTGTCACAGTGTTGGTGTTGGTTGCAAGTGCTGAAGGATCTTTTCGTGCAAGTAGAGAAATCCCTGAGGCCCTGGCTTTGTTCCTTGTACCAGTCAGCACTTGCAACTGGAAACCCTGGTTTGGGAAACAGTTCGATGAAATGGATGTTGCACTGAAGGGTGTTTATGTTAGAATGTTCCTCTGGACAGTGGCCAAACCTCCCTGGCTAGGTAAAATTGTGTCCAGGTAACTTAACACTGTGTGGGGTTTTGTAGAGGACAGGGCTAACTGTCCTCTGTAAAAGAATTAAAATAAAATAGGAAGAATTCTGAATAAAGAATCAGGGGAAGAAACCAGTTCCCTGTATAAAATTAGAGTGTGAGTTGATTTTTTAAATTTTTTTTTAGTTTAAAAGTATTGCCCTGACCTCTTATTTGATGTTTTTCCCTGAGACTCAGCCTTCTGGATGTGCCATGCTGTCAAAATAAAATGTATTGTTTAGCACTGATGAGGTACAAGGTGCCAGGAAAGAGTTAAGTGCCATGGTGAGCAACAGCATTTTCAGAAATTGCCTGGAACAATGCTTTTTTCCAGGAAAAATGTATTAAAGGGATTGCAGAACATGCTAATATTCTGTAAATGTCAAGTCCAGCATCCTGACAAGTGATTTCCTCTCACAAGGGTTGTGGTTTTTTCCCCAGTTCTACAGAAGGCGTTCACATGCTTTTGCCTCTCCCTGCTGTAGTTAATAAGTCAACGTGCTAAATACATGAAGATTTTGTTGTTATTTTAGATTTAACGTATTTTAAAACCTACTTTAAATTTTTGTGCTCGTTTACCTTCTGCTGGGTATGGAAGTGTCTTCTGCAGTCTAACTGTAAACTTATTTTTCCAGATCCAAGTATTTTAGAACGTGTTCAACAGGAGAACACTTCACTATAGAGGTGAGCACTCACATTTTTAGTGATTTAAGGAAAAGTGGGAAGGGCTGAGTCCTGGCAATGCCTTTAACACTTTCTGCAGTTTATGAACACTGAAATATTCTGGGATATTCCAGCCCAAATTGATGCTGGGGTTACCTTATAGTTTACAGAGGTCCTTTCCCAGCCTCCTTTTTGCCAAGGGTAGTGCAAGGAATAACCTGGTTTACTTTCCCTCCTGTACCCTGCAAGTCCTAGGCCAGCCAGATTGCCCCCATTACTGAGATAACATTAATTATTGTGGTTAATGCTTGGGCTGTTGAGAAAGTTGTACACAGAGGGGGAAATCTGTTGTGCTGCAGAACTCCCTGCTGTGAGACAGTGAGTTTGTGCAGCTTAAAATGCTTCTTTTTTTTTTTTTTTTTAATTTGGACTCTTCTCCTTTTAGGAAGAAAAACATGGCTAAGAAGGTCCAACTCTAAAAATAAAACTCCTCTGAAAGGAGGGTTACAGTCCCACTGTTAGAACTGGAGTAGTGTTTTTACAAGACACATAAAATATGCAGTCATACTTGCTGTGTGGGTCTTTAGTGACTCCTTATACTGAGTTGTAAAAATTATTTTTCTTTTCCTCTGCAGTTTGAGAACCTGGTGGAGAGTGATGAGGTGAGTACCTCATTGTGAAACCTGCTCGCCCAATCCTTAAAAATGGTTCCAACATCTGCATCTTCCTCCTGCTCTAAGCTGAGTTGTAGACTTAAAGGTTTTGGTTTGTTTTTTTTTTTTTATTTTCTGTTTTCCTTGCAGTAGGAATATGAGTTGAAGGCTTTGGATAAAGATCTAAGAGATTGGTTTTGGGGAGTATGGGAAATAACCCATAAAGGAAGGGGGCACTATGGACTTTGGGTATAAAGATAAAGTGTGTTTGAGGAGAATCCAAGGAGAATTTGCTCCTGGTGTAACTCTTGCATAAGACTCAGCAAGTGCCCTCAGTCTGAGAACAGAAATGGACCTGGGTTGCTCTGCTAAGGGAAGTTCTGGAAGTGCTCTGTCTTTACAAAAATCAGACTTTTTTATTTATTTTAACAGGGGGAGAGCCCAGGAAGCAGTCACAGGTAAGACTTTGAGACTGAGGACCTCTCCTTCCCTCTGCTGTCCCACTGGAAACACTAAACAAAAGAGAGTAAGGGAAAAACAAGGGACAAAAACAAGTAAGGAAAAAAAAGAAAAGTGAGATTTGGACTGCAGTGACGGCAATGGTTCTGTTCCAGTAGTTCTGTTAGCAGAGATGGTTCTGCAAATATGCTCTCTGTAAAGATATAAATAATACATATTGTGTGAGCGAGGAGAGGCAGCACTGTCCTGAACAAGCTGGACCTTTCAGGAGGAGCAGGCCACAAGCAGAGCCTGTTGGATGTGCATTAAAGGACTGGCCAGGAAAGACCACACAGATATGTCAGAGTGCAGATGAGGGTTGTCGTGCATGAATAATAGATGGGGCTTTTTTCTGCTTCCCCAGGCCTCTGACTGAGGAAGAAATTGCAGACCTGAAAGAGAGACACTACGACTCCATTGCTGAGAAGCAGAGGGTTGTTGATCTGAAGCTGCAGTCAGAGGTGAGCGGTCTCAGTGAGAGTACCAATGGTTTTCCTTCCAAAAGTGTTAGGATCAGCCATGAACACCAGGAGATTCCACTCTCACTGAGCAGTTGGGTTTTGTTCAGCAGTTGGTATTTGTAGTCTACAAGGTGCACAAATTCCTTCTTTTTAATAGCCTCTCAGCTGAAAAAATGGGAAGAATAGGCTGAGTTTATGACTAGGATCTCTTAAATTGGACCCTTTTTTCAGTGCAAGACCAAATGGGGAATATTTTTGATTCAGCTTTTCCTGTGGTGAATTTTCTCCACAACTTTCTTAAGGGAAAAAGCCCCACATAATTTTATGCTGTTTTAGTGCTGCAGCAGTTAATGGAATACGATGTGGTGTACAATGTAGAACTTGAATGAACTTTGATCTGAAGTGCCAACGAACTATGGAACTGAAAATCTTTAAATCTTTCGCTGTGCAGTCCATAATAAAGTAGAAAAAAGCATTGCAGCAATTCACTAATAATCAATGTTTAATCAGTAGTTACCTAAATTTCTCGGGCTGTTTGCTTGCGGGGAGGGAAGCTGTTAAACCCAGTTGGTGCTGTAGCTGTAGCCAATTTTGTTTTATTTTGATTTTCTAGCTGCTTTTCTTTTGTTTTTCTCGCACTTATGGCTTGATTAATAGGAAGATAGATAGGTTCTGCTTTTGTTAACCATTACTGTTTTGTTCATACACAGTTAGCCTTACAAGAGGAGAAGTTAAGACTAGAAGAAGAGGCTTTATATGCTGCACAACGTCAAGCAGCCAGGGCAGCAAAGCAGAAAAAGCTCTTGGAGGTGAGGGGAAAAAACCCCAATATTTATGAGAGCCTCTGTCCTGTTCCCATGTATGCAGACTTCCCTGATACCCTTTCCTTTTTCTCAAGGAAATGGCTTTGGCTTGCAAAGTAGAGAAAGAAGTACAAGCTTTGGAAGTACAGCTGGTTGGAGCAGCTGAAAATCACCATAATTGTTTGAAACAGCTTCTGTCTCCGAGTAGAGATTTTGAATGAGTTATAATTTTAATCTATAATTAGCTTCACACTCTTCTTATATAATATGTAAAAGTTACTGATCTTAAATGTAAAAATGATCTGTGATGGCTTTTGGGTAAAAAGAAAAAAGCCCTGAAATTAAGCACACGTTTAATTTAGACACAATTTAGAGTTGTAAAATGTACTTTATATATTTGTGCACTGTATTGCTCCTTATCTTTGTGTTTCTTATTGACCCTGCTCTGGAGTTCTCATCTAATTTCTATGTCACTAAATATAGCTCTCCTTTCACATTTCTTTCTCTCCCCTTGCCATTTGGTGTGGGAGGGTTAATTCTTTCTGACCTTTTTGCCTGCTTTTTTTTTTTTTCTTACCACTTTTGAGCTATAGAAAGCCAGCAAAAGTAGATTTTTTTTAAATGGTGTTAACTGTTTTTTGTAGAAGTTCTGTGCAAGAAATGCTGTATTTCTTGTCTTTCAGTATTTTTAATATGCACTTCTTTTAGTCAGGACCTAAGACAGAATGGATTGTAGAGATTTTAATTTCCTCTTGGTGTAAAATTAGTACCACTTATCTCCTGCTCAAACAGCCTCCTCAAAACCCATAAGGATTATAAGGATTTTAAGGAAGCATTTTTGTCCAGATATGCATCGAGCACTTAGCCCTTCCAGATAAACTGGCAGCTATTTTTGAATGCATCACTCATCTCCCTGCTGTTTGTGGGCACAAATGGGAAAATGGCTTTTTCCTTGGAAGTGTGGCCTCTCTTAAAGCTCATTTGGCTTGCCGATGTTGCTCTGCTAATTGGCAGGGTCTGTAACAGCAGGGAATGTTAATATGTGTGTGTCCTGGAACTGGCAGTGCTGGGTATTGGGATGTGACCTGGCAAAATGGGGAGATAATCTAAATTGGGTTTTATGTGGGTATAGGAATCCTGAAAGAAAGTGGTTGTGTGTGGCAGTAATTGATTTTGACAGATTTGTTGACTGTGTTGTGCCAAATTTCTGTCTGTTCCTCTCTGCGCTCTTGAATCTTTTCACCTCTAACCACCACAAAGTGATATTTCTGCTTCCACTTTTTTTTTCTCTGCGCTCCCCATTTGCACATTGCAACCTGCAATTACGATCATTTAAATATCCAAGATGAAAAGTGTGCCAGAAAACAACCCCACCATCATCATCTTGGGACTGAAAAACACTAGATCCAGTGCAGTTACCTCCTCACACCCAAAGCAGAGAGCAGTTCTCAGATGAAGTTGACATTAGCAGAGTTATTAATACTTTTGGCCCCGCAAGGCAGCAAAGCTGTTATTAATATAGATGAAGCACTTAGTGCTGATGGAGACAGCCAGAGGAGATGGCAGCATTGCTTTGCACAGGGATGAAAGGATTTGTAGGAAATATTTATCTTTTAAATGGCAGGGTGGCTCTTCCCGGGCACGGAACAAAAGAAATCCAACATCAGCCAGGTGTTAGTTGTGCACTGAAAACACTGAGAAGACAGGAGACAAGAGAGGAGCAGTCCTGACTGAGGTTCCCAAAACCTGATGGGTTTTTTGGGGGGGGTGCATAAAACAGGGTAAAGTGTTGAGAGCTCTGCTTTGAGTGTTCAGCTCTTCCAATAATTTGCTTCTCTTGATAGCAACGTAGGCAGCACAGGATAACGCAGAGAGCACACGCTGTTAACAATGGAGAGTTCCAGAGGTAAGAGACCAAGTTTTATTCCTGATAACTCACAGCCTTCACTGCCTGTACCCCTGTTCCTCATCTGGAAAGCCAGGGGGTATTTTGGGTTCAGGCTGGTTGTCCCTGGAGTTACTAGACTGCTGCATACAGTGCAGCTCCCAGATATTTACACACACACACACACAAAATCCAGTGGTGCATTTTAGAAAGGTATTTATATGTAAAATTTCAGCTAACATAAAGTATTTCTATTATTTAAGACCCTGTTCTAAAAACCTAATAGAAACACCTAATAGAAAACCTAGTCTGCCCATTCCTTCATTAATATTCTTAATTACATTTACTTATTAAATATTTTGTGTATTTATTTATTTTAAGTTTCTTCATTCCCACCTCCTGTGTTGAGTGGTGGTGGTGGGAAAAACAAGCTTAAAAAAAAGTGGAGAAATTTACAGTGGCATGGTGTTTGATTTTAGAAAAAGCTCATGCACAGAAGACAAGGGGGACAGGAGGAATTTTGCTATGGAAGCACAGTTAGAATAGGAGCTGAGAAAACTGAGTAGGAACTGGCCAGATTTTAAAAACAAAGGACTGCAGGAGCAGGGTTTGAATTCATCACTTAAAAAAATGAACTGAAAATTAAGGAGATTTTATCTAAAGTGACGAAGAGAGGGGAAGTGTTGTTTTGAGTTAGTTAATTGGTTTTTAACTGAAAATACTAATAAAAATTGAGCAGAAGCACAGGCTGGGGGAGGATGTGATGAATAGGAATAGAAAGGCATTTTGTAGATGATTTTATAAATCATTTAGTTCAGTGTTTACATGCTTTGTAGCACAGACCTGGGGGCACATGGCATAACGTATTTTTCATGGCACCCTTGGAGGTTTCTAAAGCTGTAAAAATTGTGTTTTTGCAGCTGTGTGGCAGAGGAAGACCTCGATCCTTTCCTAAGGAATACAAAATTCCAATATGAAGCTTTCCGAAGCAGCAGTAAGTCTGCCTTTCCTTAAGCACATCTTCAAATGCTGAGGGACCCTGAGGGGCACAGAGTGCTGCTTCTTTTCCTAGATAAACACAGATTACTTATAGTTTTATGTTTACACACACAAATATAAAATGTCTATACATGGATCTGTAATTTTAAAATCCGGTAATTTTTTTATCTGATGAATAAAAGATGGTGGTGAACATTTCTTGTAAAACCAGCTGAAGATGCAAATGTGTGTTCATAGCTTTTTTAAATCATCCCTTGGCAAAGTAATTAGAACCATATTAATGCTTCATTTTTTTCCTAATGAAGTGCAAGGGGTGAATTTGGCTGCCCGTACTAAAAAATTCCACCAACATTTTAGAGGAAAACAATGTGATAAGCTTTTATCTGTAAGTTTTGGTGACAGTACATGACAACCACTAAGGTGGAGGACTGGTGGCTGTGTGAGTAGTTTCGTTTTTTGGGGAGGAGAGGGTTGGTTTGGGTTTTTTTATTATTACAAGTCTTCATACAGCTCAGCTTACAGCTTATTAAACTCCTTTCTGGCTCTAATTATGGAATATCTCAGTGATATTGACTATTTATAAGCTACTGATTACTCTTTGAACTGATAAAAGTGCCTTTTCCAACATTCCTGAGGTTTAAAGGGCCACAAAGCACAATGAAAGCTTAATTTAAAATTTTACTTTTGCATGTTTAACCTGAAATTCAAGTACATTTATGAATTAAAAACACATTATGGGTTTGTTTGTTTTTTTTTAAATAGGGCTTTCATCTGATGCCACAGTGCTGACACCCAACACGGAGAGCAGTTGTGACTTGATGACCAAAACCAAATCAGTGAGTGGGAACGATGACAGCACCTCCTTGGATTTAGAGTGGGAGGATGAAGAAGGTATTTATCCTGCATTTCAGCTTCATCCTGAGCCCAAAAGTTAAAGATGTTGACAGTTCAAGCTGTGCTCATTGTAAATGTGTCATTTTCAAAAGGGAAGGTGATTTAAAACTTGTTTCTGACAAGTTTGTAGTGGTTAAACTGTAAATTATTTTTACCGAGAAAGTTCCTTATTTTTGATAAATGTGGAGATAGCCCTAATAAATGAATTAATTTATTAGGATACTCCAGTAGATAAATGAATTAATTTCCCTGCATTTTGTGGAACTGACTTGTAAACACCTGACAAAAGCAGTGGTAAAGAAATGCTGCCCTCTCGTGAGCCAGGAGCAGAAGGAAGAGCTTGTTCTTCCTTTCAAAATGTAGAGGTTGGTCAGGAGTCTGACTTCAACATTTTGGGAAAAACCCTTATTACTTACACTGTAACATTCACTGGGAACTTGGATCTGCATTCCAAGGAGTATCCCAGCAATGACACAGCAGTATCACTGCTGCTGTTACAGGAGATTTCTGCATACAATACTTCCTCTTTTGTTTACTAAACCTGCAGATTAGTTGAGACCTTGGCTATTGAAAGGCTCACCAAAAATAAGCAAGGGTTTGTTTTTTAGCCAATCTGATAGGTGAATAAGGTCTGTAATTACTGACAAAATCAGGAAAATCTTAGATGTCTTTGAGCAGTGTCCAGAGCCGTATTTTGTATGCAATTAAACAAACTGCAGACCTTTCCTGGACCACTGAATGCAGCATCTGCCCAAACTCTACCTTCGTTTCTCCTGGCAGAAACACAAAATTTAGTTGAAGACTCACGAGGAGGTGTTTTTTCTCACGTGTGTGTTAAATGCCAGGCATGAACAGGATGATCCCGGTGAGGGAGCGCTCCAAGACGGAGGAGGACATCCTGCGGGCAGCGCTGAAATTCAACAGCAGGAAGCCAGGGAGCCACCCAGCCTCAGCCTCCGACGATTCCAACGGGCTGGAGTGGGAGAACGACTTCGTCAGCGCCGCCGCCGTGGACGACAACGGCAACTCCGAGTACGCCGGCTTCGTCAACCCCGTGCTGGAACTGTCGGCCTCGGACGTCAGGCTGGCGGATTCCGAGCGCCAGGACAGATAGTGACCATCCCTGCCCCTCAGCAAACGCCGGGAAGGGAAGCGGAGCCCGCCAGGCCACCGGGATCTTTTGTAACCCGCTGGCCTTTTTGTGACGTGCGGACGGGCGAGCGACGGGAGCGGCTCGCTGTCCGGATGGGTTCAGAACTAAGTGCAATTTTATCACCTACCTTCTCCACTTTTGTGAAAACTACTGTGTATATTTCTGGGTATCTGGATTTCATATCAAACTATCTGCACTAATTGGAGCTTCGTAGCTTTGACTTATCTGTATTTTAACTTGCCTTTTTTTCTTCTGGATGATGTTTCTATTGATTTTGTTTTAAAATTCATCGTTGGCCTAATATTTATCTCAGAAACTGTCCTGTATAATTTATTGAATACTTGAAGATAGAGAAATAATTTTAAAATATTTCTATTTCTGTGCTTTTGACCTGCTCTTCAGCTGTTTAGAGGATGCAAAAGTAAGAGCTGCAAAGCAAATCTGACATGTGGCAAACTGCAGATTTTCCCCTGTCAAGCTTAAAGCCTTCCTAGTCTTCTGTTGTCCTTTTTCCATTTGTTTTATTTTTTAATTACTTCATGCTAAGCACGGTTAACCTCAGTGAACACAGCAAAACTCATCAGGTTAGGTAAGGTACTGCCTTGTGTAATAATATGCCAGACTTAGTAAGTGTGTGCTAGATAGAAAAGCAAAAATAAAATATAAATTCTCTTTACGTGTTTGGGAATTTTAACCAGTGGAGAACTGGGAGGACCAAAGTCTTGTTTTTCCCAGCCCCCCTGAACATACCAACCTCTGTTGCTACACGGTCCTTAAAATTCTTCAGTTGTGGAAAATTTGTAATTCCACTGGACCAGAACACTTATGGAAAAGCAACATCCAGTGAGCAAACCGGGGGAAGGAAGAACAAGAACCTAAAGACTGAATTTCTACATCTGCATTTTGCAAAGAAAGAAGAAAATTTCATGTTTTAACAGTGTGCTAAAGTGCTCTGCCTTTCCTGTGCCTCTGAAGTGGGTGGTTAATCCTGCTAATACGGGCTGAAATCCAAGGAGGTGTTCGGTGACCGCACCACTGCTGTCCTGTGCCGTGTGGTCTCCCCCGGTATTCCATGTCAATCTTAATTTTTAGCACAAGAGAACCTGAAAAGTACTTGCAGATCTCAAGCTTTCCCCAAAGTTTCAAAGTAAAGCCATTCTACTCTGCCATTATTTAGTGCAGCTGTCTCGTTTTTCCAGGGGGGAAAAGGGTGACAGGGTTTAACTTTGTTTTGGAGTAAAAGGGAACACGTAGTGCTAAGTAATGAACCTGCTCTGTCAATCATCAGAACTGAATTTTTTGGTGAAAGCTGTGTGAAAAATGTGGTTTAGCTCATCCGAAGCTATTTGGAATATTTGGGTCACTGGCAGTGTGGATAAGGAACAAAAATACTGCACACTGGGGTTACATGTGTACAGATAACCCGAGAGAACAGATAAATCCTGTTGGTAACATTCCATATGTTCATTTCAGTTGTAGCTATGCCACTGAAAATATTTTACTGCCATTATTTCTATTTGCAATACTTGTAACGAGCTTTAAAGACCTGTACACATCAAATGTATATTTTGGGTTTGGCCTAAGCTACTGCTGTGTGACTTCTCCTGGATATTTCTTTGTATAGTATATTCCTGTGGGAAGGAGGGAAGGCAACTTCCTCAACATGTAAATAACATGTTTTTTACCTGCTGAAACCGTCACCTCCCCTGCACTGGTCACCGCTTCTGCTGGCCAGGGAACATGAGGTGACCTTGTCCTGACCATGCCTTGAGGAATTAGCTGACAGTCCTGCCCTTGGGATGAACGAGCACTGAGGAAAAAGGAGGCTGACTCCAGCTTTTTCTGTGATGGGCATGTTGTGTAGCCGTGGTTGGTGATAACATTTGCAGTGCTCAGGGCACCACGCTGGGTGACTTTTGAAGGGATGCTCCATCCCTGTGGGGGTTTGAGGAACGGAGGGATTCCATAAAACAGCTCGTGTGGAACAGTTCAAGGGTGCTGTAAAATGCCTACCTGTACAAATTGAAGAGTCATTAAAATTTTCAGCAAGTCTTACATTTGGCAGTGTGGTATCTGTTGCTGGGTTTGTGGCAGCCGTGTCAGAGCCCTGCTGAATCCCACAGTGTCCCTTTTGGGGACCTGCTGCAGAAGACCTGAGGAATTTGGAGCATGGAGCCCTTCTCCTGTTGGAAATGAGCAGCTGTACCCACACCCTTTGAAGGCAAAATAACCTTCCTTGTGTGAATTACCTTCTGCTGGTCAGATGGATGCAGTGACAGGAGACAATCCATTTTTTAATGTGCGCTTTTACACGGGTGATTCTTTCCTCAGGTAAATACAGCTGAGCAAGTGATTGTTGTTTGGAAACCAGAGCCTGCTTCCAAGAGTGGAAAGCATGGCAACAAAGTAATTTTGTCACAGAGGAGATGAACAGACAAATCCTTCATAAGCCTGTGTTTGAGTTTCATTGCCTCTCCCTTGGCTTTCTCTCACTTGTGGTTGGTTGCCTTAATCTCAGCTGTTCCTCCCCTCAGTCATAATTATGGTTTTCTTGGAATGATTAATGCTGAAATGCATCCTAATATTTAGGGGTGATAAAATGGGTAACTCCTATCCTTCCCCAGTGTGTCTTTCAAGCAAGCTAAAATACTTGACAAAATAAAAAAAGCCAAATGCCAATGAAAAGCTGAGCCCCTGACAAAGAAAAACCTGACTGAAACAACCTGAGAAATACTTAAAACACAGGAAAATTATTAGAGAGGTTTGGGTAGAGGAGGAGGGGTAGAAAACTTCCTGAAAGTAATTAAGTAAATTCTTACCTTGGAGCAATGGCATTTTTGGAAAGCCTGGAATAGTGCCAGTGACAGTCTCTTATCTTGATGATCCTGGAAATAATTTTATTCTCCAAAAATTATTTTAGAGTGCAGCTATAAAATAGAGCAAACCCTTACTAGGGAACAAAATGTATTTATTGCAAAATTAATGTGGATTTCTATAGACCATGATCATTGATGCTACATGTTTGTCTACATCACAAGCAAAAGTAGTTATCTTGCATAAAAAAAAAAAAGTTAATTAAATTAAGTAAAAATAAAACAGAAACCTTGCTTTGAAGCTGATAAAAACATAAACTTAAGAGGACAAAGTGTTTCTAAGTTGCAAAATCTGCGAAGTTACAACCTAGGCTCACAAAAAAAATACTGTTTGGAATTCGGTGTGCAAAGCAGAGCACAAAGTAAAATATGCAACGAGACGTTGTGTCACCCCTTGGCTGGGACCAAATCCCCCGCTGTATTCATGCCTGTTAAATATCCCTCCACTGCACGTGGCCACGGTTCTGGGACTCCGTGGATTCCAGTGACCCCTCGCTTCCCACACCTTTCTGGGCATCTCCGTGAAGGCAGTGGCAGGAATGCATTCCTGTGGAGCAGCGCTCTGGAACGCCTGTGCTGAAAACACCAAGCAAAGAAGACTGATGTGCACAGCCAAGAGCACTGGGCTGAGGTGAGGGCCCTGTGTGTTGGAGGCTACAAAAGCTGAGCCAGCCTCCTTCTCCCCGCTAGTACAGCTCGTTCTCATCAATCTCTGTGGGGCTTTTTCCTTGGCAAAGAGGAAAGGAAGGAGCAATGCCGTTCTCGGGGATAGGCTGCAGGGATGGCAGGCACCTTTCTTGTAAGATGGGTGCTTCAGCCAAGTGCAAGTGAGTCTCAAAATAATCCACGGCCTCCCCTTCTTGAATCTCTGCCAGGATCTGGTAGTCCCCGAAGCAGATGATGCACTTCCAGGGCAGGTCGATCTTGTTTAAGTAGCCCAGCTCCGTTTGGTTGACGGTCAGCCTCGTTTTCTTGCTCAAGTTCTTGATCTCGAAGCCGTACTCGGAGGTGTGGAGCTTCCTGTAGAACTGCAGGGAGAACTGGAGGCGGGAGACGCGCGTGTCCACCAGGCTGTAGTGGCAGAGGCTGGAATCCCGGCCGAACTTGGCCGCGTCGTCTGCCCGGACCCGCTGGCGCCGGCAGAAATCCAGGCAGCGGAACATCATCTTCTCGGCCTGGCCGGGGTGGTAGAAGGTCAGGTGGAGGCACGTCACTGTCTCCTCTGTTTCGGCCTCCTCGAAGGAGCTCATGACGAGGGGAGCCCTCGGGAGCAGGGGACGGCAAAATGACGGCACGGAGTGGCTGCGGAACGCGACAAATCGGTTTTGGCGCGGCGCCGAGACGCTTCCTGCGCTCTCCACTGACTGCACGGAACTTCCAGATACCTGGAAGCACAGGAGTGGGAGCTCAGCAGCCACGAGTCAGCAGTGCTGCCAGCAAGCTCTTTGTGAGGGTCTCACAGGCAGATTTATCTTTGCAGGAAATACTTAGCACTAAGATTTGCTGGGTAGATTTAAAATGGGGTGAGGCAGCACTGGCTGGGCCTGTGTGCTCTGATCTCAGGTATGAAGAGATCTTTACCAACAGTCTGTCTGCAGGCAGTGGTAAATCAAGTATTTATAAAGCATTCCTTGGGCTGTCCGAACTGACCTCTTGCAGGGAAAAAGTGTTTAGAAAGTGACTGCTGGGACAGCATGAAAAGTGAATGTAAAAAGTTGGGCCGTCAGCAAGACCTAAAAGAGGAATTGTCACCAGCTCTGGCTATTTCCCCATTGTCTGCTGGAAAATCCCAGCTCTCTGCTGCTGCAGAAGTGCTAAAAGAAATGACTTTTCTTGGGTTTGATAGTTTTGTGATGTTTTTTAAAGTTCTTCACAGAGATCACATACTTATGAAACAAATTCTGTTCCAAAGCCTGAGCGACTGCAGTGCATCCGAATAAAACCTGAGACGGCTCAGGAAAGGCTGCCGTGTGGTTCTCTAAATGCAAGGCCAGTGTCCTCCCGCACTAAAACTGAGCCTTGAAAAGGAAAGTCTTGCTATCTGAAAGCAGAAACCAGCGAATGAGCTCCCAGTTACTCACCAGAGAAACATGTGAGCAGCCATTTAAGTGGTATCACACAGTGCAGATGTTTCCACACGCAGATTGCAGTAAGTTCCCAGCGTGTCTCACACAGCTCGGGAGCTCACCAGCTCCATTCAGAGCTTTATGAGCAGCTGAATCACCACTGCAATGAAGCGATGATGGTGTTTTGTGATGATGGAGTTGACCTGTGGTTTTTACACACTGCACCCAAACACCAAGCACAGCGCGTGGCGGTGTATCAGTGCATCGCTTTCCCTGTGAAACCTCAGAGCTGCTTCCTTTGCACCTTTAACACAAAACCAGCCGCAGTCCCGGCACAGCAGCTCAGCAACCTCAGCTTGGTTACTGAAACACAGAACTTCCAGCAGAGCTCCCTTTAAAACAAGCTAGGAAATATCATCTGTGCTCTTGGCAGGAACACGGACAGACGCCCTGATAGCAGGTTGCTCCTCTGCCATCTGTGAGCCACAAGCTGTGGTGACACCATTACCAGTCCCTCCTTGAAGATTCCCCAGCTCTCTCTGGGACGCTGGAAGCAGCTCTGTGGGCCAGGAGGGCCCCGTGTCCAGCTCTGCCCTTCCTTGTTTTGCACCACTAAGGGGATATTACATGAGGCAATCTTTGGTGAAGGGGAAAACCACTGAGCGCTTCAGAGACACTTCTGTGCCTCACGACTTTAGTGCAGATTACTGAGTTTTACAGGTGGCTACATGAATTAATTAAAAAAGGAACAGCCACCCATTGCTGCGGCAGCACCCCCTGATGAACCTGGCTCTCGGCAGCTCCCACAGGCCCACGATCCCCTCACGGCTGCCTCAAAGGCTCACCGAGGTCGAGCATACTGAACATTCCTCCACATAAACGCTAAAGGAGTTTCTACTTACCGGAGTGCATTGGCCAGGAGGAACGAAACTTCCTGCAGATTTCTCCCTCAGCCCCAAGGCAGACACTGCCCCGCTGCTGTCCGCACCTCCACCGCGGCCTCACCTCATCATCCTCTCCTAGGGGACAGCGAGTGCCATCACCCCCACTTCCAGAGGCAGCAGAACAGCGGGAAGCCCTAAGAACACGAGCTCCCGGAGCAGGCTCGGTGCCACCTCCCGGGACCTCCCGGACCGACCCCATGGGAACTGCCCGGCGACATCCCGCGGATCTATCCCGCTCCCTTCCTTCCCCTCACGGCCGCCCGGCCCCGCCGCCTCCTCACCTGCCGGGAGCGGGGCTCCAGCGGCTCCTGAGTGCCGGTAACTCGTGAGGAAACCGGCGGGAAGCGCTGAGGCGGGAGGAGCTGGAGCGGGAGGCGGGAGGAGCTGGGGCGGGCGGCGCTGAGGGCGGAAGTAGGGCGTCTTTAAAAATAAAGGGAAAAAAAAAAAAAAAGAAAATAAGAGTTAAATTATTCACTGCAGTGGATGACTCTAAAGGAATAGCCACGGGACTGTTCGGGGTCTCTGAGCATGTGTTCAGAGCCGCGGCAGGGATCGCAAGTCCACGGGCTCAGCTGTCAGATAAAATAATTCCGGTTTTACCCCCCGAATGAAGGCTTTGAGGAGCAAAACGCTTTGGGAAGCGCTGTATAAGCATAGCACTTGACCTGATAATGTTCTTAAGTTGATTGTTTTAAAATGTTTGGTTGTTTGCTTTAAGCAGCCGCAGTTGAGGTTCATTGCGCCTCCTTTGGCAAACAGCCATGGTCCGAACTGATCTGAAAACTTTCCCTCACTTATCTTCCTTTTTCTTTTCCCTTGTCTTGCAGGAAGTTGTGCTGAAAAGCAGAGAAGGAAAAGAGATTGTTCCAACTTTCTCCCACAGGTGAAGGCATTTTTTACAGCAGGCAGGGCTGGGCCTGTGTGCTCGCACACAAGAAAAATTAAATAGTTTGTTGCCTTCTGGAAAAGCCAGAATTGCGCAACCCTGCTGTTTATTGCATCTGTCGATGGTTATAATTCCCGTCAGCCCTTTGTTTTCCAGAAACAGCCGAGTCCCAGGTCATCAGACAACTTTTCTGACGGGATTATTTTGATACTTGTGTCTATTGAGGTACGTAAGGACCTTTCCCTTTTTTCCCCTAGGATTGTGTAACGTCGAATTAGCTTCATATTCCTTTATTGTTTTATGGTTTAAGTACAGCTCTGTGTGATTTTGTACAGGGGAGGGCAGGAACTGGATTTACAGCTTCTCTCTTCAATAAGTTTCTAGTCAATTGAAACGCTGCCAGCTTCAGGAAAACAGCTCCAGGTTTGCCCTTTATGAGGGAAAAAAGATAAAAATATACAGGCACTCTGTGCCTGTGGGGTTTTTGGGTGATCTTCCTGCTAAAATTTTTCTGTTCTGTAGTAGAGGTCATTCCAGTGTGACAATGACTTCTTCTTTTAGTTGAAATTTCTTCGGTGGAAAGCGAAACTGCAGATAAATGTGGTGTTTGGGCTAATTTAGTGGTTTTCTGGCTGGAAGACCGAGGTGGTTTTGCCGTGGCTGTGACGGTGCGTTGTTCTTCTGAGAAGTGATTCCTCTAATTCCAGAGCCAAATCCATAGGTGAATCTGGGAAATGGGAAAACACCAGGAACTTTTATGTTGCTGTCAGTCCTAACTGGCTTAGGAAACAGTGAGGGGAAATGTTCATGGTAGGTCAGAAGAGTTATACAAGTGTAGTCTCTTAATCGTCTGTGGGAGTGCTTGTGAGTTGGGAATGCTGTGACGACATTTCTTGGACACTTGGGGAAAATGCCCTTTATAGTTCTGTCTCTCTTGTGGCATCAAAGCCTTTCCAGACCAGTCTGAAACTTTCTCCTTGTCTCTGCTGTTTAAATTTACACGATGGAAGTATCCTCGCCCTGCTGAATCAGGAGTGGGAGCCAGTAGATGGCAATGTGCGACCAGACACGGGAAGACAAGCTTAGTTTTGGGGAATTTTTTACGTTTCGTGCTTATTAGTTGTTGGATTGGCGGTGGGGTTTCTTTCCTTTTTCTTTGTTTTTTCGTTTTTAGTCGTAAATTTATTTTTGGTAGCGCAAGAGTTGTCGAGGTGCTTGTAAGGTAATGGCAGTGATAACTTCCAGGAGTTGGGAAAGGCCTAATGGAGTGTGCAACAACCTGTAGTGAGGCTCTGCAATGAGTTCTTGTTACTGTGCAGCAGCCGAGTGCCTCGTGTTCAAAGAGAAAAGAGACAGGCCCTTCCCAAAGGCAGGTGTCCTCCAGGGATATCCCACTGTATTCCACTGGATGTCAGTGTGAGAGGGAGGAGAGGATGTGTGTTCCCTGAAGTTTTAGCTCCCAGTGCCAAGAGCAGCTCCCTAAGCAGAGAGGAGATCTTCCAAAGGAGGAAGAGGGGGCACAATTCCCTCTGTTTATTTCCTTCTTTGATCCTTGTTTACTCAGGAAAAAGAGCTCTTCCTCCTTTCTTCTCATCTGACCTGAATAAACTGATGAGGAGTATTCACCTTGACTGCTGAGAAGTGCTCCTGACAAGATGAACTTTGTTCGTGTCACTTTCCAAGTTCTCGTTTTCGTTCTACATCAGGATCTGCCCTTGGTCCTCCTTCAGAGCCTGGCTGGCTTCTCCCTTTCTCTTCCCTCTCAGTTTCTCTTCCATTTTCCTTTCCCTCCTGCTCTCTGCTGTTCTTCCCTCTCACCATCCTCCTGATTATTTTTCCTATTCCCTCTGCTGCTCCCTCCACTTTGTGTTTGTTTTTTTCTCTGGACCCTTTCTCCCTCCGCTGCGAAGGAAAAAATTAATTTTTGTGGCTATTTTGATAGCGAGGAGGTTGAACATTGCCTTCACCAGGCCCCACATTTTAGTGTGGAGGCTGAATCCACTCTCCTTGTCTGGTTTGACACCATTCAGACAGAGAAAATTTTATGTGCACAGTGAAGGCTGAGCAGAGTCCAGCTCCCTTCGTTGAACAAAGAAAGCAATTTTGAGCAATTAAAGATAATATAAGCTGTATTTTGCTGATATGTAGCAGGACCAGAGAATATAGTGACCTTTTTATTGGTTTGTAATTTTTTTTTTCCCCTTAAGGGAAAAGATGGGAAGGTGTTGGAGATTCCACAATAAAAACACAGCTCCGTTATCCCAGTTCACAGCACTCAGGGGCACCCAGCTGGGAGCAACGCAGCCTCACAGGTACATCCACGAGCATCTCTCTCTTTTCCCTTCCAAGACAGATATGTCTGCCTCCCAAATTACTCAAACAGCTTCCTTCCTACTCAGGGAAGCAGCTGGCTGGTTCTCCATCACCTTTGGTTGTTCTGGAAGCCCTCCCTTGGGGCAGCTGCTGTTGAGGTTTAGGAAAAAAAAAGGATTTTTATTACTGTGGGCACATAGATTGGCACTGAGGGGTGGTGAGGGCAGCCTGGTGTCTGTTCCTTGTCTGCAGCCCTTTGCCTGGCACTCTGCTCTGTCCCTGAGAGGAACTCCTGGAGATGGAGCCAGCAGGATTTCAGAGCACGGGGAGCATCCCTTTATGGCTCTGTGTATGGCCTCACAAGGGAACACTGTTCAATAGGCTTCAAAGTGATCCAGCCCTGGCAGAACCGTGGCTGTGGCCACATGTAATATAGCCTGTAGCTCTTTAAAGAGGATTAGCCTCAGATCAGGGACAGCATTCATTGCTGGATTTCGTGTAGAGTAGAATATGCTAATGGGATGGAAATGTCTACAGCAAACATTGCATAATATTGGGAACCTCAAAACTGAGCGCTGTGTCTTGATGTCTCTGCTGGCAGCCAAACTTGCATATTCTGCTCCTTACTTCCAGAAAAACTGAAGTTTATGATATCACCACAAGCTCCCTGTAATAAATCAAGATCTGCCTTGCAGTTTTACAAGCAAAGTTACAAAGATGGCAGCAAGCACTCAAAGGTAACTTTTCAGACATTGATTTTTGTGCTTTGGTGATGTCGTAGTTCTCCAACAGAGACAAAACCCACCACAGCTTAAAATATCTTCATTTGGGTTTTCTGCAGCAGGCATGGGCTTTGTTTGATCCTGTGTTCTCTTCCCATCTGCCCACCCATTGCTTTAAACACCATTTTTGGGTTTGCAGCAGTTTCAGCAGTTTCAGTTCCACATGTTGTGAAGGGTTTCATTTACAGACGTCATGGACACCTCTCAGAAAAACCATTTCAGTGGGATGAAATCTGGGGCTTCACAGGGAATTTCTGCCCCTGATCCAAAGCTGCCTCCGTGCCTGCCCTTGGCAGTGTTCAGACCTGCTGGGGGTGATTCCCTCCTGGCACAAGGAATTCCTGTGAGCTCCATCTCTGTGGGGTTTGGTGCCACCGAGGACAGACCTAAACCCAAAAGTGATGGACATTAAATACCCCGATGGGCCCTTCTGCCTTTGTGCACTTGAAGTGCCTCATCCCAGCCTGCTGGGGCATAAAAGTGCAAAGAAAGCCTTTGGGAGGAGGCTCCTTCTGGCTGCACTTCCAAAACGTGCACTCTCATTCCTCACTCGCTTTTTCCATCCGTGTGGCTCCATATCTCAGGATTTTGTAGTTCTGGGATTTGTTGTTTTTTTGGGTTTTTTTTTTTTTTTCCATTTTATTTTATTTTGCTGTTTGGAAGGTTTAGGTCTTTTCTTTTTCCTGTAGCCGTGGAGGGTGGTGATACATATTCATGAAAGAGAAGTCTTTCCAGCCCCTGCCCGGGCTGACAAAGACTTAGCTGTTTCACACAGCAAGCTGACTGGAATTGTGTGGGGCCTGCCTGACCAGATTAGAGCAAACAGCCAGCTTATTCCTCCAGTCGTCAGGCCTCCCCTTCCTAACAATTTCCCCAATTGTCATTTTGACAAGGCTGTCATTAGGTGATGGCTTCTTTTGGCCATTTTCAGATAAAGATAATTTCCTTAACTTCCATTTTATTTGACAACAAGTAGTTTGGGAGAGAAAGGAAGTGCTTCAGTAGTTTATGGATTAAGGGTTTGTCACTTCAAAGGCATCTTTGATCTAAAAATATGTGCTGTACCAAATTCATTATGCCTTTTTCTCTTTTATTTTTTTATTTTCCCCCCAATTTTTTCTTTTTTTTTTTTTTTTTTTTTTGTTTTTTTCCTTTCTACATCCCCTAGTAGTACTTGGGACAGCAGTGATGAGGGGGAAACAAGCACCCAAGTGGCCTCTCTGAAAAGTCATGACCAGGCTAAAACAACAGGTGCTTTTGTTCCGTGCCCTGCTCTTAGCCAGAGGTCCTGCCTGCTCCTGCTCCATTCAAAACTGGGAGGCAGGGAAGGAGCTGGGGCACTCCTCTGCTCCAGCTGGCCTGAAACCACGGCTCTGCTCTAGGCTGGAGGTGGCTTTTGGCTCCCTGATGCCCCTCTGGCCGGCTCCCCGTGTGGTGAGCAGCTCCTGTGTGGCTTTGGCTCTGTCCTGTGGCTGTGCTGCGCCGAGGAATCCCAAACCTCCTCCCGACAAACGAAACTGGAAAGGTTTCTCTCCCCAGGATGGTTTTTTTAGGTAGCTGAAATGCTCTTCCACAGGGCTCTGAGCTCTGGAGCAGGCAGGTGCAGTGGCTGCTGAGTATGTGGCTCCCCAGAGCCCATCCACCCGAGGAGGGGATGGGAATCCCCTTTGGAGGGGATTTGGGATCCCTTATGGGTCCCTTCCAGCTCTCTGCAGGGAGAGGGGGTTTGAATATGGATCAGGAGTGGGGCTTTTCCTGCCTTGGCTGTGGCAGGCACTGGGCTTCACTTTCACCCCTCCTCTGCTTTTTAGGATCCACAGATCTCCATCCCTGGCTGCAGCAGTGCAAATCCACCATGGCAGCCCATTATCCCAGCCCCACGCAGCCTCAGGTGGGGCTGGGCTTTGCCCTGTGTTAATATTAATATCTCTTCTACCCAATTTCTTCATCTTTTCCTGCAGTGTTACCTCTGCACCACAGCAGCCAGCAAAGCTCCTCCTTGCTGCTGGAGGCTGTTCCTGATCCCATTTCCAAACAGAAGCACTTCTGCTTCGGCTCTGCCTGGGGAAGCTGTGCAGGGGCAGGCTTCTTTTTTTTTCTTTTTTTCTTTTTTTTTTTTTCTTCTCCCCTTTTGCCTGCTAATTGGCTGAGACCACCAGAATTTGGAGGACACAGATGTCACTGATAGTTTGCCTAGGGAGCACATTCATGCCCATCTGTTGCAGTCTAGAAGGCTGTTCATATATCCACAAGGCCTTCATTTAATTCTTGTCAGAAAGTAATGTAAATCCAGTTTACCTCAGAGGTCACAGCCAAGATTTATGCCAATGAGCCCCCTGCAATTTACACACACTGTAGTTGTATAGGATGAAAAGAAACCCTTTCATGTTGGTGCATATTAACAAGAAAGCTTGCCTTAGGAGAGGCTTTTTGATTGAGATTCTTCCTTATTTTAATACAGCCAGTTGGGATAGCCAGCTTTACTAAAAGAAAACATCTAATCTTTAATCCAGAGAAGTAAACTAGCTAACTAACTGAATAAAGCCCCTAGCAAATCTATTTATTTTTTTAAAACCGTCTTTCTGCAAGGGAAGGTAAATGCTCTAGGAAAACACAAGCATGTGTGCACTGAAATGTTCAGGGAAACTGAATTTGCCTTCTGTAGACGATGATATTAACTCAGTTATTGAAACCTTTGCTAAGTTATCAAGAGAATGGGTTTTTTTCTTTTTTTCCTCTTTTATTTTTTAATCCCCCCAGCAGCCAAATCCAAAAATGAAGCTGAGCCTGTTATTTTTTGCCAGGAGTGGCAGGAAGGGCTCCAGAAGATCCACGGGAGGGAGAGCAGCCGAGGGTGCTGTGTGGTGTGCACGCTCCCCCTTACCTGCTGCAGGTAAAAACACCAGCCCAAATGTTCCACTGCTCTCCCAAGGACAGCCTCCTGCAGTTTTTCCAGTCTCCCTCCAGAAAGCAGAGGGAGGTGGAATGCCAGAATACAGAGCGAAGGTGGGACTGTAACTCCGAGAGATCTGTGCCATGATTTCACCCCTTGTCTTTATTTAGCAAGGGACTCCTAAGAGCCTAAAGAGCTTCCCTGAAAACGAGTGTGGCTTCATTAATCTCAGAGTGGAAAGGCCACAGCACACCGAATTAGGCTGGAGGGAAAAGCTGCCAGTGCCAGTGGTGCAGGCACTTGGATGGAAAATGAGCTGCTGGAAAAGAAACGCTCCGAAGCACTTTGGTTATTAAAATTGCTGGTGGGAGCAGGCAGAGGAAAACAGGGTGCAAAGATGGACCAGGATGTGCCAACCTGATTGCCAAAGGGTTTCAGAGTTGGGCACCTCGTTTTCTTCGGGCTCAGTGTAGCTTGAGGGTGTTCTTTCATTTATCCTCCTCCCTTTCCCTCCTCCCTTTCCCTCCTTCCTCTTCCCTAGTTTGCCTGGTGCACGGATTTTGCCTTTCCAGCGTTTTAGGCACGAAGATCAGCATCGTTTGCACGGTGTCATAATGACCAGAGTGCTTTGGGATTAGGAGGCAGGAGAGCAAGGCAGAGCAATGAAAGCAGGGCTCCCATTCCTGGTTCCAGCATAACACTTAAAATAATTAAAATGTTTATTTGAAAGTCAAAACAGCCTCAGCCATAAATAACTATCCATTCCTCGATTGATTGTGTGGAGTCCCAACCGAGAGCTCTGGGAATAAGGTTTATTTGCTCCCTGTTGGGATTAATCCATAAATGTAGTCTCCACATGGAACTCATCAGGTCTTTGCCTCCTCTTCATTAGTCTCCCTGGAGCTGGAGGGTACCCTGAATAAGATGAAAATTAGGATAATATATTTTCAGAGAGAAAAGGCCTGGCGATCTCTAATTTGTGTTTCAGGGCCATAATGCTGTGGAAAATTTCCCAAATGGTGTTGTCTGAGAAACCACTGCTTGTTATCCTTGCTGCATTTGAAGTTTGAATGCAGCAATTACATCTTCTTTTTCTTAAAGCCTCCAGAGCTAATTGCAGTCTTAAACCGGCTAGATTGACTCCCAGGCTTCCTTCCACCCATGGCAGAACTTAAAATTCCTTTCTCTTGACAGATCTTTTGGTCTTCTAGCCCAAGGGCTCTGAAATGTCACAGTATGGCCCATTTCTTATTAAAGAGATCATTTCTCTGTGTCCCACCCAATTCTTCCCTCCATCCCTCTTGTCCTGAACCCCAGCCCCAATTAGAGGGAACGACAGAAATGTATTTTCTTGTCCCCTGAGATCTTAGTAATATTTTTTTTTCCATCATGTTTGATGCAAGGAATTATTTTAATCCAGGCTGCAGTCAGAAATGGCACTGATTTTTTTCTTCCTCGTAATTTCTGTTTTAAAGTGTCTTAACGATTACATCAAGCGTTTAAAAGCTGGTTTTGCCCAAAACATCAGTGTAGCAGCTTTCCTGTCACCAAGGAGTGCTTAAATCCTCCATCTGATGCAAAATTGTTTTTATTACGGGTTTCCAAAGAGCATTTTTAAGTGCATGCTTAGGAAACATTTTGGCCCGGGCAGTTCTGCAGCGAGTCATGCTGCAATTTTCACCACTTCAAAACCATCTCCTTAAAGTGCCACTTGTTAGGATTTAAGGGAACTTTGGGAAAGCTGATTAGCAACCATTGAGAGGCTTCTAAAGGCCTCCAGAAGTTTTGGCTGTTCTGCTTTTGGGCTTTAGGCTCAGGTCCCCCTGTGTTTCCCCAGGAAAACTGCGTGCCTGGTTATTTCCCCTTCCCAGCTGTCACTCAACGCCACAGCTGTCACAAAACACAACTTGCGAGGTGGCATCTGTGTAAAGGATGCTGATGTGCTTCTCAGAGCTCCGTGGTGCATTTGAAGCTGGTTTTATGATGCCACTCATTGTCCCCGGTGATGGGTCTCAAAAGGCTCTCTTACCCTCTGAGCACTAATGTACAGTTTATTGCACTTCTCCCTGTGGTCCCAGCACTCCGGCGTAGCTGCTGCTGTGAATCATTATTTTATTGCTCCGTGTCCTTGCTGTTTATTCGATTCCTTGGAAAAAATGGTACTTGAAGAAAAAAAATCCCTTGCTTGCTGACATGCGTGGATGGCTGCTAGGGACCTGGCAGTTTCCCGGTGAGTTAAATCCTCCCAATCCAAGGAAGCCAAGTGCTGCTCTTCCACACTAATTTGAGCTTCCCTGCTAAGCCCTGGCAGCTCTTTGTGAGAGTGGCTCACAAAGCCACAGGGCCCTCCTGCCTGCAGTAAAGACCCGAGCAAGGCTGGGCTTAAAGCTCTGAGCTGGGGCTCTGGGCTGCAGCACGGAGCAGCGGAGCACATCCCTTGGATGCTCCTAGAGCCACGTTGTTTTTTTGTAAAGGGAAATAACCCGGTTTTTGCTGGCCTTAGTGCACCTTCACAGCAAATGGTGGGCATTTATTTGCAGGCTGTGAGGTGGCAGCTGAGCACGGGCTTTCTCCAGCGTGCTTCTGCACGCTCCTGAGCAGTTTCCAGGCTCCCACAGCGGATCCAAGGGCAGGTGTAGGTGTGCTTGGGAGACGCTGGAGTGGGCTCCCTGGAAAATGAGATTTTTGAGAAATCAATTACACAAAGGAATGGAGGCCGGGCCAGATGGCAGGGATGCTTCATCCCAACCTGGGAGGTACTCCTGGGACGGCTGCAGGCTCCTTCCCACAGGGCTGGCTAATCAGTTAAATCAATTAGCAGATGTCAGTGCAGTTAACAGAGCAGGCCACGCTGGCATAGGTGTGTGTTAGTGTGACTGCACTTTTCTTTTCCCTGATGGATACCCAGCAGCAGGACCAGCTTGTCTAGACCTGGCAGGGTGGAGCAGAGGGCTCTGCTTGCTGGCTGTCATTCCTGGGTTCAGAGATGTGTCCCTCACAGATCCTTAGGGAGAGGGGACCTTTGAGAACTGGGATGTGGACTTGCACCGTGAGCAAATCCCATCGTTGTCCCCTTTTTTGGATTCGTCTTTGCCAGCGGCAGGTGATTCAGCCCCATCCCCTGGGGATGGACCATGCTGTCTCTGGCCCCATCTCCTTTTGCTCCTGATGGGAGCCCCTAAAAGGCTTCTGTTCCTGGTGCATCCACAGGGATGTGATCAGCACCCAGCCATGCTCAGCTGGCTCAAACCCTGCAGAGAGTGGCCCTGGTGCCTCTTAATTGGAGCTAAAAAAGATGGGCAACACTTTCTAGGTTTTCCTTCTGCTTCTGTCCGTGCCTCTGGCTGATCTCTTACTTGCTCCCAGCTCCTCTATGTGCTCATGCTCCTTCCCTTGTTCTCCCTTTCACAGCTACTTTTTAAATTCCTTCTTGCTGTGACATTTGCATCTGCAGAGTCAGTCAGAGCCCCACTGAGGGGCTAGCTGCTGCCTCCAGGCTCTTTGCTGCTGAATCCCATCTTTCTCCCTGCTCCACCTGCCCCTGCACGGCAGCTCTCTGATCCTCTCTGCTTTCGCATGAGTGCCTCTCTTTTGCCCTCTGCTCTTCAGTCTGGCAGCTTGCTCCTGCTCGGTGCCCTTGGGAGCACAGCCTATCTGCCACCAGCTCCAGCACCCAGAGATCCCAGAGCTGCAGCAGAAAAGGGGGAAAACTGCCTGGAAACATTTTAGCTGCTAAAATGCGAGTGGTTTGCAGCCAGCAGGGCATACTGTGCCTGTGTGTGTTGTCCTTTGCACTCCCTCCTTCACTGCCATAGTGTTTTCCCAGTTTTAGATATATTTCCAGTGAGGCTGCTCCTGGCTGTATTGCTTCAAGCTGCAGGATGGTTTCTGAGTGAAACCATCATCAAATCGGTGGGGGCAAAAAAAGCCCAAACCTGAAATATTTATCTTGTGCTTAATGTTTGAAATCTGCCTGAGCATTCAGCAGGTACAGATGGGAATGGATTTCCTGCATCACCACTGGCCGTGTCCTGAGCACCTGGAGGAGAACATTCACCCACGGGGTGGCATCCATCCCAGGCTGGAAGAGAAGGTCTCCGTGCTCTGGGAAGTGCGCACAGCACGCTCCTCTCTGCCATTCCCTCCTGGCTGAGCCCGAGTCTCCCGGGTGGAGAGGAATTTGGCACAGCCCCGCCGGTCACCTCCCTGCTCGGGATGTCAGGGCTCCACTGACGAGCCCGTCCTGTCTCCTGCAGCTCAGAGATGCTCCCCGGGAGCCTGCAGTGACTCCACACCCTCCTGATAAAGTGTTTTCCTCTCTTTCCCCCCTTCTTGCGCCTTTGCCATAACCGATGGCACTTTACTTAATCATTTCCCCCCTCCTTTGTCTGCCAGGTACCTCAGCCTCCAAGGAACCCTTTTCACTGGGAACCCGTGTCCTCTCCCGAGCCATCCATCACCGCACAGCCCGGGGATCCATCGTGCCATGGAGGGGCAGAGCGCCGTGGCCGTGCTGCTGCAGGAGTGCCAGCGAGCCCTGCACACCGAGCTCCCTCCCGCCCCGGCCCCGGCGGAGCACCGGGAATACCGGCGCTGCCAAGGTGAGCTCTCCCCTGGAGAGGCAGCAGCTCCCCGCCGCCGCTCGGCCCTGCCCTATTTTTCGTCTCCGTGAGTGTCAAGAGATGCCTGGATTTCGAGGCCGTGAATGGGATGCAGGCAGGGGAAGAAGTGCACTTTGTTGCAGTGAATTGCTGTCAGTTCTAATTTTAGGCTTCAGTAAACATGAGGCTGTAAGGAACAGTTTGGTTTGGGAAGAACAATGCCCAAAAGTTTGCTGATGCACATAAATTTCAGTTATTAAAAAAAAAAAAAAAAAAAAAGAGAAAGGGGAAAAAAAAAAAAAGGATGCAACTTCTGAATAAGGGCACACGTTTCCTCTCCTTTCATAGGAACTGGGGGAGGGCCCTCTCTGTTTGTCACTTTCTCCTCATATATTAAAGAGCTCGTTGCCCGAATCTTTATCTTCTAAAATGTGCGTGACCTCTATAAGAGGGGTCCAAGTGAAAAAAAAAAAAATTAAAAAAAGAAAAAACAAAGAAAAAAAAAAAAACCCCAAACCTTTTGCAATATCCCTCTTGAAAGAAAAATCCATGCTGGCTAAAGTCTGGAATAAATAACCAGGAAAGGAATTTTGGCGCGGCTGCGAAGGGAGGATTTATGATTTCCCCACTGCAGCGGCGCTGAGGTTTCCCTTTGCGTGCCACATCTGCGGCGCTGCCCCTTCCCCGGTCCGGTGTTAATAATGTTTCCTTCTCGCCGTGCTTGAGTGGCTCTGCCCCGACGTTAATGCGATCCTTAAACCCCTTTGTTCGTCCCGGGGCGCCGAGCCGTTGGGAATATGTTTTTCCGAGCATCCTTGTTCTTGCTGGGAGGTCAGCTGCCTTTTCCTGAAGCACCTAAGTCTGTTTGCGCTGGAGGGGTGGCGTGGAGGTTTCTGTTATGGATACTGGAAGATTTTTCTCTCCTCTTCTTTTGTTTCCAACAAAGGGCACTTTGTTTCCTCGTCGCAAATTCTTTTAGGTTTTATTGTGGCTCCGCAGAATAGGCTCTTGAACTCCTAATCAGGTAGAGCTTTTTTTCCCCCCCCCCTCCCTCATCCTCCTCCCTCCTTTTCTCCTATTAAATGCCACAAAGTATGAGAAATAATCAGTTTAGTTCCAGATAAGGTGAATCAGTGCCCTTATAATCACCCGATTGGACACGGCCCTTCAGGTAAACTGCTTGAGGAAATGGGCCATCAGAGCCTCGAGTGCTGCTCGGGCTTTTCCCATCAGCTGGGAGGAAAATACCCAGCAGCGGGGTGGTGACAGCGACATTAATAACTGCTGGGGCTCTCTGCCCGGCTCTCGGCTTCGGGGGGACCCTCCCGGAGCAGGGGCCGAGGGGCTTTCCTCGCCCCCCTCTCCTCCCGGGGCTGCCTTTGTTCCCCCCGGCTTCCTCGGACCTGCAGAGGGAAGGACTGGAAGCCGAATCCATAAAAACCACGGGGAGAGGAGGAGCACATCTTTATCTCACTTTAGGGGGCAGTTGGGTGGGTCTGGATTTCTTCTTTATTTCTGTTTTAGGCTAGAAATCATCCCAGTCCACTTCTGTGAGCGCTCAGCCTTGGTGAAGTCATGAGTTTAAATCGCCAGCAGTGAGAACAGCTCTCTGTTGCCAGGGCAAACTCTTCTCCTTGGAGCTGGATCTTCCTTAGGAAAAGACTCAGGCAGTTCAGTCGTCCCCCTTCTACGTGGGAAATACGTCCTTCTGTGCAATAATTTGTTCCTGGTGATGAGGTGAATATCCCCGTGCTGAGGTGGATATGTTCCTGATTTTCCAGTGTGAGGGTGGCAGCTGGAATTCCTTTCCCCTGGCACTTGGCCACCTTGCCACGGCATTCAGGGCTGAGCCCCTTCAGGCACCAGGAGGATAAGGAAATTGGGCTTTACTTTGAGCCAGGGTGTGTAACGGGAAGGTTTCCAAACCCCACGTTTCCTTGGGATGGCAACAAGTGAGAAAAGGTGGGCTGGAAAAAGCGGGAACATTGTAAACCTGACTTTTTTGGAGGTGGGCCCTAAATGTCCAACTTCCCGTTTCTTCCCAGGGAAACCATGCCTGTGAATGTGCTGCAGTGCTAGCATGTAATATCCTTTTTATGAAGTTCATTTTCTACAGTCCCTGCATAAAGGATTGATTTAAAAATCTGTAGCAATGCATTTATTGCGTTGCCTCGTTAAAGCAGTGATGGTCTCTGAGCCGGGCTTTTTTTTGGGGGGATTAATGGCCAGAAGGGGCCAGATCTGCAGCTGATGATCACCATTAACCCCATCTGGTCAATAATCTTTGTTAATCCACTTTTATTGGCCAGAGAGGCTGCCCAGCACACCCACATCACCCCTGCTGCAGGGAAAATGAAACCTGGGCTGTGGCTGGAAGGAAGGGGCAGATCCAAGCCCAAATCTCAGGCTCTGTGCTCCTAGCAGTTGCTTCCTTAGCTGGGTCAGGTTGGAGATCCACCCAAAGCTGATGGAGTGGCTCAGGACCAGTATGGAGAGGGAGCAGGGCGGGACAAACTGCCCAAGAGCTTGTGCCTAATGTTCATTGTAACCCTGTGGATTTCTGACTGGTTGCCATCTAAGGCTTATCCCCCACTTTGGAAGTGGCTTTCCAGGATGGCTCTGCCGCTGTCACCTGAGCAAAGGGGACAGACAGGGTGGGACACAGGGAACAGGTTCCCTCTTGCCTCTTCATGCCCAGGCAGCCACCAGCTTCCTGCTAAAAGCCTTTTTAATGTCTGGAGGCTCCCATTTCCCTGGAGAGCAGTGCAGCCAAGGGGGAGGGATGGCAGGCCAGCTCTCCTGCCCTCCCCACGAGGCTGAGAGCTTTGGGAGCAACTGGGAGAAACCTTTTGGAGGGGCTGCGGCAGAACCTGCTGCAATACCCTCACCTGCTCTTTGACCCTTTCAGCCCTGCTTCCCGAGGAGCTGAGGAGCCTGCTGGAGGAGGCAAAGGAAATGAAGTGGCCCTTCGTGCCGGAGAGGTGGCAGTACAAACAAGAGCTGGGCCCAGAAGACAAAACAAACCTGCAAGATGTGATCAGCGCCAGGCTCCCTGACCTGCTGGTACGGAGTTCCACACAGCTGGGGTGTAAAATGTCCTGGGGAGGTGCTCAGGGGGTTTCACAGGGCACTTCTGGTTCTGTCTCCACTGAGGTGTTGCTTCCCTCTTCCCTGGCATTGTAACAACACTAAAATGCCAAATGTTCACCTAGTTTTTTTTTTTTAAAACTCACCCATTTGACAAGAATGCTTTGTTTAATTCTGCTCTGCAGGTAGGTCATGAGGGTCACTCTTGCACAGTTCCTCCCCTGCTCTTCTTCCAGTAAAATTACCTGGCAGAATCCCTTTGAGGACCAAAGCTGGCCAAAACCTAGGCAGGATAGGCAAGGATTCAATGTGATTTCTCCTGTGTAAGGAGCTGCAGAATCCCAAAAGTCCTTGGGGATCCCATCCCTCGAGGTGATGAGTTTGAGCTTAAAGATTAGACGGTGGCAAGAAACGTGGATTGCTTTTTGCTTTTCTGATTTTCCTGATTTACCCTTTTTCCATGGTAAATGCAATACCTGGGCTAAGGGCTAAATAAAGGAATAAAGATGAGCTTTGTGAATTTTACGGGGGGTGTTTTTTTATTCCCGTGGTCCGCGTCTGAAGCCAACCCCATCCCGTTCCTGCCTGTTGGTAACTCCGAGGTGGCCAGGAGATCTCACCTGCCCCGGGGAGCCCTGCCTCAGTGAGGCCAGCAGCTTTCCTTTGGGAACAGCTGTGATTCCTCTGTGGAGCAATGGGAAGCTCGGCAAAGGCACTGCAGGGCTGGGAAGTGGCAGCCCCAGCATCCCCAGCTCCTGGCGGGGCTCCTGCATTTCCCCGGGGAGCGGCAGCTCTGGGCTATTTGTTTTCTCCCTCCCTTTGGTGTGTGTGGCCCCAGACAGAAATTTATGGCAGAGGTTGACCTCCTTTACAATCCCAGCTCGGCTCCCTGTAACTTGGGAGCGTTTGTGAGCTCCCTCCCGGGATAAGCACCTGCAGCAAGCTCCCCGAGAGACCTGGCTAGATGGGAGATTAATGCGGCTCTAATGCTGGGGCAGCGTTTGCCGCATTATGCCCTCTCCCCAGGTAGGTGGATCTTTTCTGGGATGATACCAATTATTTATTGCTGAAACATCTGTTGATAACTGCAGCTGCCCTTGTTGAACAAAGCCTATCGTGGGGTCAGGGACTATAGGGACCTCAAATCCTCCTCCGTGCTAGTTTTGGGCTATTCACCCACACCCCCTGAAGTCCATTGGCTGCCGTTGTCTCCAGTGTTTCATCCTGCGGTGGAAAATACTTTGTAAACGTTGTGCTGCCTTTGCCCATGTGCTTTGAAGTATTATTTCATCTTCGTCGGTAATTTATATTCCAGCGCCATTGTACCATGGGAAAAAGGGAAAACCTTTTTTGTTTTCCATTTAATTGTGGATAGACTGACATTTTGACCTGTATTATTAGTATTAGTCAGGAAAAGGGATTTTTTTCTTCCCCCCCTTCATCCATTCCTTCTCCCCCCTCTTTTTTATTTTAAATAAAATTTCAAGGCAGAGCAAAGGCTGCCTCAGTTCTTTGAATAAAAAGCTGGGGGGGGGGGGGAAATGAGGCTGAAGAGAAGTGATTACAGTGTGATGAGGAAAGATAAAAGTCCGAGCAACTTTTTTTTCTTTTTATTTTTTTTGGCATGAGGGACAGAAGGATAATTTAATTCCCCTAAGGACAGAAAAAAAAAAAAAATTAGCCTTTATCGATTTATTGTTCGGAAAAAGAAAAGAAAAAAAAAAAAAACCCTTTAAAAAAAATTTTCCCCCTCTCTGTTTATTTTAATTTGCCATGCTCAGAATAAGTTCATAAACCGTGATTCATTACATTTAAGGAGCGCTTTGAGGGCCGGGAATGAAAGGCGCTTCATTTCCATAACACCCTGGCGGAGCTGCAGCAGGCATCCTCTCCCGAGGATGTCTCGCTCTGGGAGGGGGCTCAAAAGCTCCATGGGACCGCCACAGGGAGTAAGAGGATTAGGATGAGGCTTCAAGGCTTTGCCTCGTCCTCTCGGCTCATGGGGAAGGCACAGCCACCTTCTCCAAGCGTTCTCCTTCCTCTTTTACTGAGGGATGCTCAGCGCCCCTCTGCATCCCAGAGAAGGTGCAGGGTTTGCTTTGGATTTTACTTTTTTGGTTTTTTTTTTTCCTCCTTTTTCCTGCCGGGATTCACCACCCAAAGGCCACCACAGTGACAAGCTCAACGTGCTGAGGTTTTCCCCGTTTTCCTGGCAGGTTCCAGCCAGCCAGCCAAGCCCCCGTGGTGGGAAGCTGCACTAAGGCCCAAAGGGTGATAGCAGCATCTCTATCCAAAGCCAAAACGGGGAAACACTGGGATTTTATTTTATTTCACAAGGCAAAGCAAAGTCAGAATTGTCGCAGCGTCCTGGCTGGCAGGGATCAAGAAGGAGGGATTATTTTTCCTCTCTGAATACCGCATGATCTGTGGGGTTCGGGATGGGGCTGCACATCCCAAAGGGAGGCTGCCAGGGGTGCCCTTCCTCCAGCTCTCGGCTTTCCCAGGAGATGGAATTAGCCTAATGCTCGGTGAGCAGCCAATAGAGGGCAACATGCCCATGTCCAGGGAAGCTTTGATCCCAAAAAACCTGCTGTGGCTTCAGCTGAAGGATGACTCCGTGCACGCACGTAGTTCCAAAGCCAAAACGGGGAAACACTGGGATTTTATTTTATTTCACAGGGCAAAGCAAAGTCAGAATTGTCACAGCGTCCCGGCTGGCAGGGATCAAGCAGGAGGGATTATTTTTCCTCTCTGAATACCGCATGATCTGTGGGGTTCGGGATGGGGCTGCACATCCCAAAGGGAGGCTGCCAGGGGTGCCCTTCCTCCAGCTCTCGGCTTTCCCAGGAGATGGAATTAGCCTAATGCTCGGTGAGCAGCCAATAGAGGGCAACATGCCCATGTCCAGGGAAGCTTTGATCCCAAAAAACCTGCTGTGGCTTCAGCTGAAGGATGACTCCGTGCACGCACGTAGTTCTCTTGCGGGGTGGTCGGTGCTACATCAATATTTTAAGGGTTTTTTCGTTTGCCAACCCGTAGTGATGATGTGGGGCTTTGCATCAATTTTATCACAGCTATCAGTAATTCCTGCCTCCGCTCATGGAGCAGGATCTGCTGGGATGGGTACGATGGGAATACAAAAGGAAAAGCCTCCAGGAGTGGGGCTGCTCTGGTCCTGGCCAGGCTGGCTCCATCCGCTGGGGATGGGGGAGCTCGGATCCTGGCCCTGCTGGCACGGCATCTCCCGGGATTTAACGGGAATATGGAAAGGAGTGGGAAATAAGGCTCTGCAGCCCTTGGCTAATTAGGTGCTGATGGATTGCCATTAGGGAGCCCATTCCAAGGGACTGTGCCCTGGCTGTAGGTGTGTGCGCGGCGCTCAGGAGCAGAAAAAAGAGCTGGAGCCGAGGATTTCCTTTTCTCCTCCTTCTAGCGGTGGGTGTGGTGAGAGGAGAATTCAAGCCCTAAATCGTAGCCCTGGGATCTCGGTAGTTGAGGCTGACCTTGTGATCCCAGTGAGACGGAGAGTGGTGTGAGGGATGAATTCCAGCCGGAATTTTGTGGACCACAAAAAAAAAAAAAAAAAAAAATTAAAAAGGGAAGCTGGATCCTGGGTTTGTGTAGGGCTGTCACTTCGCTTTGCTCGTGGGTAGGATTTACTCCTGCCAGAGGCAGGCTCCTGGAGTATTTACCACTTTAAATGTGTTTTCTCAAGTGGATTGATGTTTTGAGGACAGGGATTCAGGGAGGAGTCTCTCATATTTTTAGATGTTAATAATGGTCTTGCAGTTGCTCCCTCAGGGGGGTTCTGTCGCTGGTTTTGCTGTATTGGAGTATTAAAATATCTCCTTTTACTGTGCCACAATAGTTTATAAGTGGTCCAGGACAAACCAGGGCCACAAAACGATTGGCACCTCTGTATCTTTGGTACTAATCAAGAGAGGAGCCCTGCGTGTGACCACGGTCCCCCAAATCCCTGCTGCCCTGTTGGATCCAAGGCCCCCAGGAACATCCCTTCCAGCAGCTTCCCAAAGGGCACTTTGGGAGTTCTCCTTCTGTCCCCATCACAAAATGCTGCTGTTCTTTTTCCTTGAGGGAATCAGGAGTTATTCCCAGCCTTGGACTCGGTGAAGCAAGGGTAAGCTTGGTTGTAAAAGCTGCCTCAGTCTGAGGTGCTTTGAGCTGCCCCTAATGGACCTAACGCTGCTGCTGCCTCTGAATTCCCAGCTCTCCGCTGCCTGCAGGATGAACAACCTGAGATAATTAACAGGGAGAATTCTCATCAGCTCTGAGCTGAGAGGGAAGTGTGCAGGAGCTGCCTGGACACTTCGGTTTTTATCCATCCACAGTGTGACCGTCCCGTGTGTCGTCCTGCACCTCCAGACACGCTTCCTCCTGCCATCCCCGGCCTGGTGGGAGGCAGAATTCCCTGCTGTTTGTGGAGTGGGCTCTGACTGCCAGCTGAAAGGCAGGGCCTGATAGAGAAGTCCCGCTCGGTGACAGCAGCTTTGGTCTCTGGGAACTCTTGGGAAGGACGGGCTTTGCCGGCGGCGCGTGGGGTAAGAGGGGGAAAGGCTCCAGCCCCATCCATCGCCGCCCTGGCTCTGTGTTTAATCTGACAGGGGAAAGAAAACCGGGCAATTTGTTAGGGTTCAGTGGAGTGCTAACTAGGAGCAGCTCCTGGGAGAGGACTGGAGCACCTGGAAGTGCCTGTGTGCCTCCGAAGCTCCCGCCTTGCGCACGGAATTAGAAAATTCTTTGCCGGCCGCTCTCGGTTTTGTGGCTTTTTAGAAAGGTTTTAAAGCTCAAGTGAAACTTGCACAAGTGAAACTAGGACGAGTGGGTGTCAGCAAACACAGGAGTCCAGAGCACCCACAAAACTGTGGGGAGGCTGAAAATCAAATCTTTCTTTCCCCTGCTTTTAATCACGCTGTTTGTAGAGGCGTTTTTCCAAAGGGGATCCTCCTGAGCCCGCAGGCCGTGGAGGAGGGCTTGCCTCTGGGATCTTGGCTTTATAAAGAGGGCCGAGAGAGTGGATTAAATCAATATTTCATTTATTTGGCCTTGTAATTCCTCTTCCATCAGCTGCCACATAAAGATTTCCCCCTATTTCCTTCCCCTCCTCCTCATCCTCATTTACTATGCACCAATAATTTCCCTTTGACGCTTTCCTGCCCGTCCTAGTGCCAGATGGCCCCGGTTCTGAGCTTCTCCCCTCTCTTGGGAGCGGCCCCCATTGTCAAGGCGGAGGAGGCGTCGTGGCTTTGAACCCAAAGCCGGGACCCGAATTTCGGGAGGAGCGGGGCGCACACCCTCCCTGCCGCTCGGAGAAAACCCCCTGGCCCAAGGGCTGCTTTGCATCTCCCCCGATGCTCCGTGTATAGAAATCCGGAGCAAATTTAATTCCCCCGCCACCTGATTCCACTTCCCGAGCTTCCCTTTGTGCCGTAAACTCAATTAGGCAGATCCATTTCACGTCGCGGGCACAGATGTGAAAACAAAGTGCGCGCCCACCTCGCTCCGTCCCCCTCTCCCTCTCCCTCGGAAGCGACGGGGAAAGTGAGTAAATCTGCCTGGGATGGGGCAGGCTGAGGCACCGCGGCTTTCCCAGGCTCTGGGAGCCCGGCTCATCCCGGGAGGGCTCCCTGTGCCCTGGGGGTGCTGAGGAATTCCCCAGCCACACGAGCTGGCAGGGAATGAAAGGAGCGGGTGTTCATTTCTCCGTGTCCCCGCCAAGGCTGACACGGAGCCGTGGCGCTGTGTGCCACACAGCATGCCTCCCAAAAAAAAAGGGGGGAAAAAAAAATAAAATAACCCCGTTTCTCCCCCTGGCTTGACTTTTCTACATTTTGTGTCCATTTGGGTTTGGAGAGGGACACAAGAGGTTTCGGCATTGAGCGGGGAGTTAAATTATGCAGCTGCAAGACTGCCAAGCCCTTCAGAATAGGATGCTTCGTTTAGATTTTCCACAATGCTATTGAAGTGCTTATTTTCCTCCTGAAGAGACACAAACAGATGCAAACTTCTGTAAACACTTTAGAAATGAATTCAGTGAGTTTGGCCTCTCAGCAGTGCTCAATAGCTGACAGAAAAATGTCTAATTAGTGCAAGTGGAAATAATAGGGCCACTTGGATTCCTTCCATCCTCCTCCAAGTCTACTTTTCCTAGGAACTCAAAGGCCCTTTTGTTTGGTAGGTCACCCTCTCTCAGGCTTTTGTGCTCCGATCTATTAAAGGAAGAAGGGGAGGGGAAAAAAAAAAAATAGATTAGGCGATGCTCTGCGCTTAAATATATGGCCTGTTGATGAGCATTTGGAATGGCTGGTTCGCAGTGTCAGTTTACAGGTGCTTGGAGAGGGGGATTCCTCCATTGTTGGCCGGCACAGGCGGAGCTTCAGGAATCCTTTTCAAGTGCCATCCTCTTAGAAAATTCAACTGGGCTGAGGAAAGAGGGAAAAAAAAAAATAAAGAAAGAGAAAAAAAAAAAAAAATGTGTACGAAGTGCCATGCCCATAGCAGGCCATGCCCAGCATGGGAAGTGACAGGCTTTTGGCAAATGTCACCGGGTCCACGTGGGACTTCACCTGTGATGAGGCTCTGTGTGTCCCTTTGCTGGCCTCCCGTCCTGCTAAGGGCAGGGATCTCAGGAATTCTGACAATTCCCCGGGTGGGTGCTGCTGTGGGCACCCGGGAGAGCTCATAAGTAGTCACTAAGGATGGCCTGCAGGGGGAAAACATTGGATTCCCGGCCTGTTTGTGGTGTTCAGAGGAGTGGGTGGCCTGAGCTCCAAATGGGACGATGGCCACAGTGACACTTTCCAGTCTCACCCCCACCCTTTCCCCCTAATTGCTGCTAGGCATCCATTAAATCCATCAGCAGCCCACCAAATTCCGCAGTTCCAAATATCAGGCAATTAAAAAAAAATATATAAAAAAATCCAGAATTACACCTCCAACTCAAACAGAATAACATCTTAAAAAAAAACCAAAAAAACCTCAAACAGCTGGCACCATCTCAAACACGAAAATGGGGTGAGGAGCAGAGCTGGTGAAGCTGAACATTTTCCAGCGCTCCTCAGGCTGCCTGTGGATTTTTTGGGGGGATTTATTTATATATATATATATTTATTTTTTTTTCCTCCAGGCTTATCTGAAGGCCTCCATCCTGGTGAGGGACAGCAGCACTGCCACGGCCGTGGTGTTCCTGCTGGACCGCTTCCTGTACTGGCTGGACGCCTCCAGCCGGCTCCTGCGGCTGGCCAAGGGGCTGCACCGCCTGCATCCCGCCGCTCCCATCAGCCCGCAGCTGCTCATCCGCCAGGCTCGCCTCGCCGCCAACTCAGGTACGGCTCTTCCCAGCCTTTCCACTCGGCAGGGGACGCTCGGAGTGTCCCCTAGCCGGCGGTGACACGCTGGCGGTGCCACCCCTGCGAGCGAGCTTCCCGCTGCCGGCTCCCCCCTTGAGCCCTGCCCGGCTCCTCTCGGTGGCACAAAGGGTTTCGGAGGCAAAGGAGGGAGAGAAAGTGGTGAAAGGGTGTGGGAAATACTAATTGGGGCTTTTGTTCCTTAACAAGTCTTCCCTGCTGGTTTCAAACGGGGCGATCTGAATTGCTGTGCTCCCCGAGCAAGGGCCTTGAGAAAAGGAAATTGGAATCCTGGCATTTTCTCCGCACTGTCCCAGCTGCTTTTTATTTTTCGGTGGGGCCACTTGACTATGCCAACAATGCAGGTTGCAGCTCCTCCGGGATGAAAAAGTAAAATTCCATCATTCCTGTAGCATGGACAGCACCTGAAGGGTTTTTAACACACATTCCAGTGGCTGTGCTTTCCATGGAGAGACCTAAATGGGTTTCCAAAGCCTGTGTTTCCTCGGGACAGGATCCAGCAGCATTGCTGCTGAAGGAAGCAGGCTAGACCACTTTCTTCTGGGGGGTGGGAATAAGAGCTGGGAATCCCAACAATCTTCCAGGAGTGTATGACGTGTGAAATGAAAAAGATGCATTCACAATTTCGTGTTACTGTGCAACCACGTGCACCTGACTTTTCTGGCTGTGGACAGCAGCAGTTCTATGTGCAGGTGATTCCTGATGAGTGTTTTTATTCACCTCATGCCACAATACATTTTTATGTTCATCTCCTGTCTTTTTTTTTTTTTTTCCCCCTTTGATTTTCAATCAGGTAAACTTTTAAAAGCTGAATATATCCTGAGCAGCCTGATTAATGACAACGGAGCAACGGGTATGTGTAAATTTATTTTCCAATTTCGTACTTGCAATTTTGCGGCGATTTTTGGTCCAAATTTTAACAGTTACACCAGCCAAAACCAACCCCAGTAATGACTCCTTACATCACATCTCTCCTTCCTTCATTCCCTCCTAAAATGTGGGAACATTACTTTATTTTTGATATTTCTGTCATTTGCCTTTGTATACCTTCACTTGGGTGGGAAAATATCCTGAGTGGAGAAGTTTAACCTGTGGAGCAATTTCAAGGACCTGGGTGATGTAGGAAACTCAGGCAACTCTATCCCCTCAAAAATCCAGATTGTTGGGGTAATGTTCAGCCTGATCTCACAGACTAAATAAATACTTTATGTTTTATTTTCCTTTCTTCAGGGTTTCTTTAGTGGGTATGTTCAGGCTGCTGTACGACTGTGAATATTGAAGCAGTTTTCAGGGTTCTGTCGGTCTGCTTCCCCTGGGAAGCTGAGATTCTCATAGGGAAAGGGCCCCCATGCAAGGAGGAGAATCCTGGCAGCTTGCTGGGATTCAGGTAACCCTTGGAGGCTGAGAAAGACAGGAATATTTTTCATTCTATGTCGAGTTTTCCCACCCCTCCTGCAGGAACCTGGCGGTACGCCGAGGAGAGCGATCGGGTTCTTGTTCAGGCAGTCTGCCTGCAAATCAGGGGACAGATCCTGCAAAAGCTTGGTAAGGCTCTCTTCTGGAAGCTCCCACTCAAGGTTCCCCCCCTGTTTGTTTTCCCCTTTAAAATGTTCCTCTGGGCACACGTCAGATTTTTGGCTGGTGGTGAACAGGCTGTGCCCATAAAACAGGCACAGAGGATGAGGGGTTGCACACTGGAGCCGTGTGCCAAGCAAGCATTTTGCAGGAGTTATCATTTTATTGCTGATCTCACCCGAAGCCAAGGAACAACCTGAAATGTTCCCTTTTTCCCTGTGCCGCTCCGTGTTTGTCCCAAATTCGCTCTTCCCAAAGTTTTATCACAGGGACATCCCACCAATGTCCTCCCTCAAGACAGGAAAATCCCTGATTTTCAGCAGGATGGGCTTTTGTGTTCAGGGCTTGGCACTTGAGGCAACAGCCTTCATTCCGTGCTTTTGGTTTGGGGCACCAAACCGTCCATGACTGTGGAGCTGAAGTCTTTTATGAGGACAAAATGAGTGTTTGTGCGCAGCCAGAAGCTGAAGGAAACTCATAAATGGTCAGAGTCACTGAAGCAGAACATGCCATGGCATGGTTTTATCCTGTTCTGAGGACCTGAGGTGTGAAATAAGCTGTGGAAAGGCACCCCTGGCTGTCCCCTGCTCAGTGCCTGTTTTCTGGTTTATTTCAGGGATGTGGTACGAGGCAGCAGAGCTGGTCTGGGCTTCAATCGTGGGATACTTCCAACTTCCTCAGCCAGACAAAAAGGTAACATCTCCTTTCCTCTCTGCATCTCCCTGCCAGCCCCAGTAACCAGCTCAGCTCTTGTTTCCTTTGGTGACACACCTGGGCCGGGGTTAACAGGCAGCACAAAGTCTGTATTCCGCGTTCTTTCCGCGTGCTTTCCCTGCAGGGGGATGAAGGCAGTGCTCCTCATGGAGCACAGCCATCTCAAGTGACACCAGCCCCTGGGGATGCCTCTGGTGCCTCCAGCAAGGACAGCTTAATTCCAGACAGCAGCCACAGATTTTAGCTATTTCTTAGGATTAGAGAGATTTTTTTTTCCCCCCCAAGTGCGTCTGTGGTGGGGGGAAAAAAAAAAATCTGTGATGGATTCCCCTGGCCCTGCAGGACCTGAGCACCTCACACAGCCACCCTGGCTGTCCCTGGCACCTTTGTGAGGCTGGGCAGCCCTCCTCCTCCCTCTGGAGATGGAGCAGCACTCACACCATGTGTCCGTAGCTAAACAGGAATGTGAGCTAAGCCTAAGCCTGGCGAGTCCTGGGGTGATGCTTGGAGAGGGTTTGTAATTGGACCCCAGAACAAGATATCCCACAAACCCAGACCTTGTCACCTCTTGTCTGCCATGTCTTAAAGCTTGACCTCAAGAATGTTTCTGTGTTCTCCATTTCAGCGGCAGCAGGGGATTCTGCAGTGAATTTTGTGAAAGCATACCTGGGTTTCTCAATTATTTGGCCAGGCAGGTCCTTAGGTGGCATCAGGTCTTCCAGATTACTGCACTTGCTGCAAGTGGAATTAATAAAACCACGCCAAGATGACATCTCTGGATTTCTTAGCCATGCTGCTCTTTGGATCTTGTTTGTGTGTTTGTTTGCTTGTTTCTCTGGCATGTTCTACAGAGCAGAGCAGTAAAATTCAAAATGCAGGGGAGAGAAAAAAAAACCCACTGTGAAAATCTTGAATTTCTCTTTCAGGGAATTGCCACATCCTTGGGTATTATGGCAGACATCTTTGCTTCCATGAACGAGCAGGATTATGCACGCTTCAAAAGCAATGCTGACATTGACCTGGTGAGGCTTGCTTTGGGCTTTGTGTGTGTGTGGGTTCTTCACGTGCTCTCAAATTCACCCACACGTGCTGAGAGGGCTGCAGGAACTTCCATTGCTCCCAGTGAAAAAGCTCAGTAGCAGCTAGATGGGAGAATCCCAGGAAAAAGAACACATTAAGGGTATGTTATAAAGTGTATATATTTAGAATATTTATGGAGTCAAAAGTGACGTACCCGTGGTAAACCTTAGCAAAAAGGGTCCTGCAGAAACAGACCAGGCTCTTGTTTAAGATATGATTGTCCCTGCCTACCAGGCACCATATATTTGGAAATAAAGTCCTTGAGTTGAGGTTTTTTCCTTATGTTTGGGGTTTTTTTTTCCTTCCATCAGAGCCTCCTGCAGGAGTTCAACCACCGCTTGTTGTCGGCGGCCGAGGCCTGCAGGCTGGCAGCTGCCTACAGCCAGTACACCCCCCTGTTTGTCCTCACGGCCGTGGTGAGTGCTACTCCTCCCTCTGGAAGTGGGATTCGTGCAGGGGAGGAGCCCAGGCTGCCGAATTTGGCTCTGGCATGGCTCTGGCATGGCATATATACAGGGTATACGTTGCAGGAAAGCTCTCCACAGAGTGAGGGTGGGCTTTTGAGTCCTGGGAGTGCTGCTTCTCCTAGAGCTACAGCTGTATTTCAAAGGATAAAAAAAAAAGAGAAAGTTTATTTCCTCCAGGAATCACAGCAGCAGTCAGTTAGAGCCATGCTTTGCTTCAAATTGTGTAAGGGAAAGAAACATGGTTTTAATTCCCTCATTTCTCTTTGGTCCCCTCCCAGAACATCCGTGGGATGTGTCTGCTGGCCTACAGCCACTCCAAGGACTGTCCCCCGGCAAAGAGAGAGCTCTACTTGTCTGAAGCCAAGGAATCCTTTGAGGTGGGGCTCCTCACCAAGGAGGAGCAGAGTGCCATCACCAGCAGGCAGGAGCTGCACAGTTTCATCAAAGCCGCCTTCTGCCTCGCCACCGTGCACCGCTGGCTCCACGGGGAGAGCCAGGAGCTCCGTCGGGTCACCCAGCTGTGCAGGGAAGCCCTGGCAAAGCTGCACTCCTACAGCACCTCCTCCCCAGAGGAGGAGGATAAGGGGATGCTTGCCAAGGAGATCATGTCTCTGATTGCAGCCGTGAAGCGGCGCCTGAGGGTGGGAGGCTTCCCGAATTCCGACGCCAGATCTTACGTCCCAGACAGTTATAAAGGCTCGGTACAAAAACCTGTCCTGCAAGGGAAGGCCAGCTTTGAGAAAATCCTGGCCAAGCATTCCCAGCACCACCTGTCAGTGTGCCAAGTGTTTGAAAAAACTTGCAGGATTCATAAAAGCACGCCGGGAGAGATCCAGGTGGGAGCTTGTATCACAACCCTAAGAACAGAGACCAAAACCATGGACACTGTGTGCACTGCTGAAGACACAGGTCACCAGAGGAGTGGTGCTGTGAAAATCTTGGACTCACCAGCAGCAGGAAGCAGCTCGGGGGGACTCAATGGCCAAAGAAATCAAGACATTGGCTCTGGTGTGATGAAAATTTCCTTCGAAGAAGAGATGGAGCCATTAGAAATTGAAATAAACAGCAAAAAAGATGTTTTCAGCAGAGGGCAGGACAGGAGCCAAAGCACTACTTCTGAGAACTCTTGGTGCAAGCTGTCCAAATCCAGTTACTCTTCCAGCTGGGAGGAGCTGGGCTGTAATGGCAGCAGAGAGTCCCTCAGGGAGGGGCAGCAAGGGGACAAGGGCTCAGTGGAGGAGCAGTGCTGCACCACAGAACCCGATGGAAGCAGCCAGGAAACGCCCCTATGCTCCTTGCCTACCAGAGCCTGGCATCCTGCTCCTCAGGAGCCCCTCCGTGGCTCTGGGGGGTCTCCTCAGCATTCCTTAGAGGAATCCCTCCCTCCAGCAGGGAGGATGGTGGAGATGGAGCCTCTCTGCCGAGAAGAGCAGCGGGAGGGAAGACACCGTGGAAGGAGCTCTTCAGAAAAGAAAGCAGAGGGCTTGAACAATGAGTTTCCTTCCCTCTCCATGTCCTGCTCTCTTCCTACAGGGCAGGAGGAGGAGGAGAAGTCCTTTTCCTGTGCAGAGCTGAGCTGCAGGACCAAGGACAGCAGCAGGGAGGGAAGCATCGCTGGCTTGGAGTGGCTCCACCCGGGAGAACCTGCAGAGAGCACCGAGGATCCCTCGCTGGAGGCACAGCCCACCGAGGACAGGGGCACTTCTGCACCATCAACAAACACCGGGCCAAAAACTGGCCGTGACTCCTCTGTGCCTGGCTGGGTGGGGAAATCTGCCCTGCTGGGGAGCAGATCTCTCCAGGTGCCTGAAGTTGACCCCCAGGCAGAAACAGAAGATGACACTGAATTTGAGCACATCAGCACGGGAGACTTGGTAAAGGATTATCCCACAGCACTGGCTCCAAAGCATGAAGCAACTCCCAGCGTGCCAACAGCTTCTCCCTCCCTGGGAGAGATATCCACAGCCAAGCACTTGGACTGTGCCACTACAGAGGAGGGTGAAGAGAAGTCTCGGGATGTGGTGGGCAGCAAGGGACAGTCCAGCTCCTCTCTGAGCTCCTGGATCAAATCAGCACCAGCGGCCACGAGCTCCCCTGCAGGTTCAGTCCCCAGGGGAAGTGGCTTTGCCTTCCCGCCCGGGAGAGTGAAGGAAGAGATCCTGGACACTCGGATTCTCAGGGATGATGATTACAGGCAGCTTCTGGCAGGGGTGGAGCATGACTGGCTTGTGCAGAGACTGATGCCTACCGGGATCTTTAGGAGCAAAGAGCTTCACAAAGCCTACTGTGAGTTCCCACACAGCAACCTGTGCCTCCACAGGAACAAGCTTGACTCGGGCTTTTTAACACAACAATTCAGTCAGCATTTATTTTTTTTTTTATTGCTTTTTACCCCATTACTTGAGTTTAGATTCCACATACCATCCCTGAAAACTGTTTAAGATAATGATCATTAAGTTAATCGTAACTAACAGCCAGTCCTCAGCACAGGCTCAGAGCAACCCTGTGCATTTCTCCCTTTTATCTGTGGTGTTTTCTTTTTCTGTAGCTGCTCTTCTTCTGAAATACTCCAAGAAATCGGGGCTGTGGACAGGCCAGGAGACAGCTGTGTTCATTGGGGACTACCTGAACGTGGCCAAGGAGGGCAAGCAGAGAAGTGCCTTTTGGATACACTTCCTGCACCAAGAAGAAAGCCTGGGAAGGTATGGACCCAGCAGATTTCTGAAACAAAGTGTTCATCCGTGCTGCTTATTTGTAAATGTGGATAATAACTGCCTGGTAAGATTTGCTGTAGCAGGAGTCTTTTGTGGCTTTCCCAAATGTGTTGGACATTTTGGCAATCTTTCCCACCGCTCCGTGTAGCTCTAGCTTTTAATTTCCAGGATGGAAAAGCTGCTTTACTGTTGTCTTCTAACAGCTAATGGCAGAGTTCAGATCATTACTAGGAATAGCTTATGAATTATTGTGGATGGAGAACAATATTTTAATGTCTCTGAATCAAACTCCCGTCCCAGGATTTGATGGATAATTTTTCACCTCTGTGAGACAGAAAAGAAAAGAATTCCACCCAGTTTTAATCACAGCCACTGCAAATGCACCACCCACAGGTGGACTTGCTTCTGACAAGTTCTGCTTTGCAGTGATGTTTCTGTATCACAGCACCCAGAACAAACACCGCTCCAGACTCTTCTCCTCTTGCTCAGGTATGTTGGGAAGGAATATAAGGAGGAGAAAGGACTCCTCCATCATTTCAGTGACGTGGAGCGACAAATGACCGCCCAGTACTACGTGACAGAGTTCAACAAGAGGCTGTATGAGCAGAAGGTCCCTACCCAAATCTTTTACATCCCCTCTGCAGTACTGCTGGTAAGAGCTGCCTGGTAAGCAATCCCAAGGACCTGACAGGGAAGGGTGTCTTGGGTCAATAATTGCAGCAGCTGGGCTGTCTCCTTTCAGATTCTGGAAGACAGAACTATAAAAGGGTGTGTGAGTGTGGAGCCCTACATCCTGGGGGAGTTTGTGAAGCTGTCCAACAACACCAAGGTGGTGAAGAACGAGTACAAAGCCACGGAGTACGGTCTGGCTTACGGCCACTTCTGCTACGAGTTCTCCAAGGGAGCTGACGTGGTCGTCGACCTTCAGGGTGTGTATGACAGCGGTGTTAATGCCTCTCACACTCAGCTTCTGGCCCACAGGTGTCTTTGGGGTATTCACTGGGTTAAAATTCTTCGTGTGTCTCACAGGGTTCTGCTTTTGCTGCCGTAGGTGGAAACTGGGAATCACTGAGGTGACGTGAAGAGAGAAAGGGCCATGCCAGGCAGAGAGTCCTGAGCGTGCTAATACAAAGGCTGTGGTGGTGTTTATCAAGACAAACAAGATACCAAGATGTTCCATTTCTTCCACAGGTTGGGTGACAGGTAACGGGAAAGGCCTCATCTACCTCACAGACCCCCAGATTCACTCCCTCAATAGCAAAGACTCACGCTCCAACTTCGGGAAGAAAGGAATTTACTACTTTTTTAATGATCAACACGTGGAGTGCAACGAGATCTGCAGCTGCCTGTCCTTGACAAGGCCCTCGGCGGAGCTGCTGGCCTAGGCTGGCACAGGTCAGTCCACAGAAGGACCCGTGAGCTGGGCACTGTTTTACCCCACACTTCTTTGGGAGCAGCTTGTCCAGCAAGGCAGTGAAAAACTGCCTTCATTTCCCATTCTCCTCTTCCCCCCCAAAGCCCAGACGTCCCGCTGCCCCCGAGCGCCGGGATCATTTCTTTGGGGAGATTTTCTCGGTGAGGGAGGGGGCACAGCATCCAAGTTCCACAAAAAGATGAGTCCCTAACAGACTTTGCTTTAACAAAACCGTCCCCTTTTGTTTCTGCAGCCAGCAGAGGTTTTTAGGCTTTTGTCCCAGCGTTTTAGCAATGCTATTGTTTTCTAGGTGATGTTCCTGCCGAGTTGTTTGGAAAGATTCCCTATCCCTGGGCCAACTGATTAGAACTAGGTGTAAAGGGGGAGAAAGAAGAGGGAGGGGGGGAAAAAAATTAAATCTCTTTATTATGGTGCATAAACCTTCAGTCTTGGGGAGCTGCGCAGCTGCGCGGGGAGAAAAATGCATTCAAAAATATAATGCCAGTGTGAATAATCCTTTCCCGAGCGCTGCTCGCAGACTGCTCCAGCTTTGTCAGGTGAACTTGAACCGGGCCATCAGATTTGCGGCCGTTCCCATTGCACACTGTCTGTCACCCCGGGGCATTCACCATCTTGCCTGTTGTTAGGAGCCAGCGAACAATCCATCATTGAGCCCGGGCAGTCGCCGGCTGACACGGCGGTGAAATCGGCATGTGACGGGACACTCGGCCCCAGTGTCTCGCAGATTAAAGTGATACAAGGAAACTCACGTGTTACCGGGAAGATTAAGCCCGTTATCTTGTTGTGCAGCCAATAAAGGCCGGCCTTGTGCTCGCTCGGCAGTGGGGAAATGCTGGCTTTAACCAAGTGACATTGCCCGCATAGCTCCGCGCTCCGGCCGGGAGCGCAGCCGGGCTCCGCAGGGCGAACAAAGCCAGTTAGCAAGATCCCGGGAATCAGTGGGCGGCAGGGATGCTGCGTTAAAGCCTCTCTGCAGAAGCTTTCCCTGCTCTGTAGGGACAATTAAAACCAAAACGAGACCTCTCTGCCAGCAGACGGCACACGCGGTTCCGGGAGCCCTGGCCAGTCATGCGTTTTCCACTCCTTCGCGCTCAAAGGAAGGAAAAGAAAATTTATTTAGGCATGCTTCTGAATCAATCCATCCCTGGGGAATTTTAATATTTTGCTTTCTTCCTAATATTTCCACCTGGCAGCTTAGTTATTTTGTTTGTTTTAGGAGACATTTTGCCGCCTCAGCCAAAGTTATGGCTACTCACGGGTAGAAGTTAGGGTTGAGGATCAGCTTCGGGTTCAGTTCCCTGCTAAAACAGACATGGAATCATCTTCTACTGGTCTTACTCTTCACAGGATTGGGCACAATTTCAGATGTACCAGGCACTCTGTCTTCATCCAGGGCTTGGATACTGGAAATCATGGATTTACAACCTCACCGCCTGAAGAGCTGGGGCTCTTCATGAACACTGCTCCAAACACATGGAGTTTAAGTTATTGGCTGCTATTTGTGGTAGAAATAGGGGATTATTGTGGACATAAATAGTTGACTCTGAGGATGGAGAATTTAATGTTTTGGATGTAAATTTCTTCTTAGAACTACTGACAAAAAAACCCAAATTGCTGCTATTTCCTCCAGTATCAGAATAAAGTAATTTGAACTGACTGAGACATTGGGAATACTTTGTCCTTTTTTTAAATTAGAAATTGGAAGTTTTTATTGGAGATCCAGTGGCTTGTGTTAAATAACTTGCTACCGAGATGCTTTTTGGGCTTGATTAATTGTTGTACTCTCCAAATTCCAACCTAAATACTCGTTATAACCATTGAGGGCCAGGCTCTACAAAAGGAGTGGAGCTGTGCCGTGCTGGGACAGTGAAATCTGAGATGTAGGGACACCACCCTTGAGGAAACATGAAACATTTTTTCCTCTCACCTAAACTCCAGGATTTGACTTGTGTAAGTGCTGTTGCAAGTCAGGCTTGCTTAAAGAGGTTTTTCCTCCTTCCCCTTCTGCAGGTATCCAGGTGAAAGGCAGAGGCTTGTTAGCTGTGTGTCGTGCCTGTGCATCCAAGTTAGTAAATCTGATATCCAGGGAACAAGCTGGTGAAACCAAAGCCTGCTAACAGGTAGAATGATTTTCTCACGCGTTTGCCAATAACTGGAGCACTTCAGGGAATTTCTCTTAGAAAAGGTGCAGTGGGAAGGGAGCCCCTCGGTTATCCCAACAACACGGGGCTGAGCCGGGTTTGCCTCCCTCCCTCTCTCTCCCTCGGAGCCGCAGCATCCCGGGCCATTCCGTCTGGCACAGAGCGGGCACGGGGTGACCCCTCCAGCTGTGAGGCAGCCCCTGCACACAAGACAGCATAAACCCCCCTGCCCCAGAGCCCAGCTGCTGGATTCCGGCTCAGCTCCTTCCCCAGACACAGCTCTCCATGGGGAACGAGGGGAGAGCCTCGCACCAGCAAGCGCAGAGCCGCAGCCCGCGCTGCCCCATCTCTTCTGCTTGGAGGAACACAGCAGCAGCAGCAGCAGGATCCTCGGCGTCTCCTTCCCACTAAACCAGCAGCGAGGTGCTGCTTGGTGCCTGCTGCTGTCACCTGCTGCCTCGAGGGAAGCCCCGGCACTCTGCGGGGACGCTGGCGGCAGCGTGCTGCTCTCACCCCTCTCTCCCGGGAGCGACACACGCCACCCTCCTTTCTTCCACTCGGATGAAATCATCTCGCCTCTCCCCGGGCTGAGCGGCAGCAGATGGGGCTGCTGGCCCCAGCGCGTGTGAGCCCGCTGTGCCTGCCCGGCAGAACCTAATCCCATTCCCTAATCCCGAACTTCTCTGCCAAGCCCTTCTGGAGGCACAGAGCGTACCTTCCGTCAAAAGGCACGGAGTTGTGAACAGTTTGTTCAGCGCGGGAGCCCAGCATCCTGCGCACAGCTCCGCAGGGGCAGCTCCCGCATCCCGGCTGTTCCCGGGGGTGCAGCCAGCGCCCAGGGGAGCAGGACGAGGGCAGGATCCCCCCGGCAGGCAGCAGGTGCCTCTCCTCCCTCGCTCGCAGCCCAAACTGTCGTGCCGGCTACCGGGGCTGCCGTTGTCCCCTCCGAGCAGGACATCACGTTAATAGAGGTTGATTTGCAAACGGCGTCGCCCCCCCGGCCCCGTGCCCCCCTTTGCCTGACTCCCGCTTTTCTGCTCAATGGCACAGATGCTGCTTTGTGCTGCCCAGGACCAGGCAGCTATTAGCAGCAAATCCAGCGAGGGAAATTAATGAAGGCGACTACTAATAAAAGACAGCTCAGGACAGCCCGACCAACTTGCTCCGAGCGGTAATTAACTTTTTTTTAAAACTCATGAAGGTAAATATGCCATCAGCTTTGGGCCGGTCTCTCTGCTTTTTAATAAAAGGAGGAGGAGGGGAGGCGAGTGAGAGGGGACGGCTGTGTGTCACAGCCACCCCAGCACCATCCCTCTTCCCTCCTGGCCGCTGCAAAGTGACCCTCCAAGGATTTTTTTTTTTTTTCTCCAACTAGTTTTTAGAGGTTTGATTTCAAATCTGGCAGGAGTTCTGCCTCTCCTTAATCTCAGTTCAGTACCAGAGGTCACGGGGATGAGCAGGCTGCCAGAATTTTGCTGGACCTGCACAGCTGTTGCAGAATCGTAGGTAGAAGGCAGGATATCCTTATATTTTTAAATCCTTACATCTTTAATGCCCTTACGTTTTCAGCTTGTCAGAGCAAAAGGGTTTTTCTCGGACTTTAAAACATAAGATTTTGCTTTGTAATTGGACAACAACCTCCATCAGGTCACAAAAAAGATCCCACTGGGATTTCTGCTTACGCCAGGGGATTGGCTCTCTAGCAGATAATTGAGATCCTTTTTGCCCATGGGGAATGGCATTTGGGGGCTCCGTGGGCCAAATCCATGCATAATACAGGAGCAGGGGGAAGCCCAACCTGAGGCACTGGAGCAAGGCTTTAGGAAAAGCGGGTTTGAAACGCGCCGGCCAGCTGAGAGCCGTGTCGGGAGGGCTCTTTAACCGCGGCACTGCGAGGACAGATTTATGCCTGCCATGAAAGGCGGCGTGCGGCAGCCCTTGGGGTGCTGGTTTGGCTCCTCGTGGCCATTCTTATGCCAAGGAGGGCTGTAAACTCCCCCCATCCCGGGGGCCTTCAGGCTGCCCCTCCAGCCCTGCTGGCGCAGAGGAGCTTTTATGCCAAAGTACAATACACAGAAGGATCATAAACACATGTTCTGGGGCAAGGGGCTGCCATGGAAACCACCCCCAGGTTCCTCACATCATCCAAGGAGGTGTTTGCCCATCTCGCATCTCCTGGTCCGCTTCCAGGTTCTGGGGACTCCCCGTCTCCTCCAAAAATCAGTCTCCGGCGAGAAAAGAGGGAAATAGTGAAAAACAGAAACGAAGGAGAGGAATAAACTCAAATTAGGGGGCAAGAAGGGGAAATAAACACTTCTGGCCACTTTTAAACAAAAAATCGGGATGAAGGTGACGGGGTTAGGTGACAAATCCAGCCTCTCCCACTCGGCTTTTGCCAGCCTGGCCCTGCCACCCCCTCAGGCCCGTTTCCTCCGAGGGTATCTCCAGCCAAGGCCAGCCTCCCCCAGGGAACAGGGAAAGTTTTTCCCACTCCAAACCCCTGTCCAACCCCCCCTGCACCCTCCGCCGCGCCGTGTGCTGTTTCCCACGGCGGTTCCCGTTGGCACAGCCCCAGGCGGCAGGATGGTAACGCTGTACCTGGCATGGAGGGAAACCCCTGCGGGATGACACACCTGGCAAGGAGCAGCGTCCCTCCCGAGGAGAGCATCCCGGTGATCAGCCCCCCGGGATGTCCCTCCTGCTCCAACACCCAGAGAGGAGCGCATCCCGTCCATCCCGGCCTTTTGAAGAGCCGAAGGCACCTACTCCAGTGCCTCTTCAGAGACGGAGAGAAGCCAGGAAGGACAATGAGGCCCGACCAGAAAAGACGGAGAGAGCGCTCGGCTCCTTTTTGGCATTCCTGGAGTTTGGGCATTAAAAGGGGTGAAAAACCCCGCTCCCGACGGGCTGCCCCACGCACGGCCAGCGCCCTGAAAGGCTCCCCCTTCTTTCTGTCCCTCCTGGCCCGTGGCAGATTTGGGGGAGCACAGCTTCATCTCGCTGGCCACATCAAAGCAGTGATTATGCAAATGCCCCCACTTTTTCTTTTTTCTTTTTTTTTTTAGGGAATTATTTATCACACAATAACCCCCCTGCCAGGGGGGGAAACAATAGATCAGGCTCGATAGCACTGCTCGCCCGAGGCTGCGGGGCCGGGGGGGGACCCCCGCGCGGTTTATTGGCCTAACCTAATTTCACTAATTCTCTTTTCACATATTTTGGGCTTTTTTTTTTTTTTTTTTTTTTTCCCCTCCTCTTTTTGCCTCTCTTCCTTTGGCGGACGTGGCTGGGTTTCACACTCCCAGGATCCGGAGGGCACCGGGCGGGATTGGCGTGCTGGGCGTTTTATTTAATTAATACACCCAGGCGCCTCTGCTGCTTTTTAATGATTTCCAAGCGTTTGGACCCAGAAGTCACAAAGTGCTCCCGGGAGCACGGGGACGATGATTGAAGGGCCTGGGCGGCCTCCAGCACCCCCCTCCACGGTGACATCCCCGGCTGAACCGAGCCCCCTGCGACCCGGAATTCTTCTGACCCTCACTCACAGGGAGGAAATTCTTCCTCTTTCAACCCATGGATCTTTAGCTCAACATCGTTTAATTGCCACGGCCCTGCTGGTGAAATCCTGAAGTGTGAGAACTCTTCATCCATCCATCCCGCGTTTGCTGTCAGCACTGATCATTCACCTTCTGTACTGAGAGCCAAAGGTGAATGATCAGTAAACTTCCACTGGACTTCCCCCTCTCTCTCTGACGCTGTTTCCCAAAGAAACAGCGTTAGAAACACCATGGACCCAGTGACATCAGGCCCGTGGTTTCACCAGAGACAAGGACAGGCCCAATCCCGAAATATGCCACTGGCACATAAAGCAGAAAAAGCAGCAACCCCAAAGTTACGAAAATTAGAGCTTTTTATTTATATTTTATCACAAGGACAATCCCTTTGCTCTTCAGCTGTAAATACATACTAGAATAAACTCTGTAAATTATACAAAAAATACATATTTTCCATGAAATCTGTCTTTATAATAAATAAATGTGAACACGTGTGTGGCTGATCGCTGTAATGTTCCGTGTCTGTTGAGGTTTTCAGTCTGTTGATTTATTTTTAATCTCCTGAAAGAAGGGGGGAGTTCCTTGTCCCCTAAAGGTCGAAATAAATAATGTATGAGGAGATCCTTCCCCATTCCCCCCCTCCCGATTTTTTTTCCCTTTTGATAGAGAGTTCAGCCTAAATTTCCACGCTTGCATTCAGCCCTCACAAAGCCTACAAATTATACAATGACTTCTAACCTGGACCCCTAACAAAACAATTTACTTTTTTTTTTTTCCCCCCCCTCGCTTCGCACCCCCCTCCCGCCTATAAATCATAAGGGACAGATGGCAAAGAGGGGAGCGGGGAAAAGGGGGGGACACACACACAAAAGCCCCGCGGTGACAGATCTGGGAAAACTGGACAAAGTGCACATCGGCGAGAGAGAGAGAGAGAGAGACGGAAAGTTTGGTTTGGCAGGTGCCGTTCCCACAGCCCGCCCTGCCCTGGGAAGCGGGCAGATGCCGCCGCCGCCGCCCCGGGGGGAGCCCCGGCAGCGCCGGGCCGGGCTAGAGGCAGCGGCGGGGCAGCGGCGGCGGCGGTCCCGGGGCGAAGCGGCCGGGCCAGTGCTCGGGATCCGAGGCGGAGCCCGCGGGGCTGGCGGGCGATAAAGTGCAGGCGTACGGGGAGGCGGAGGGCGCGGGGCTGGCGGCGCCGCCGCTCCAGGAGGAGGCGGGCGAGGGGCTGCCCTCGGCGGGGACCGCCGCCCCGTCGGGGCCGAGCCGCGCCGCCCCGGCCAGCCGCAGGGTCTCGGTGAGCGCCCAGATGTAGTTGTGGGCGAAGCGGAGCGTCTCGATCTTGGTGAGCTTGGCGTCCTCGGGGAAGGTGGGCAGCACGTCGCGGAGGGCGTCCAGCGCCGCGTTCAGGTTGTGCATCCGGTTGCGCTCGCGGTTGTTGGCCTTGAGCCGCCGGCTCCGCTTGATGCGCTGCGCCGTCTCCGCCGTGCGCGCCGCCCGCGGGGCGCCGCGGGACCGCCCCGGCCGCCGCTTCCCCTCCGCCCGCCGCAGCCCGCGGCCGCCCGGAGCCTCGACGGGGCGAGCCGGCGGGGCGGCGCGGTTGTGGGCGAAGCGGAGCGTCTCGATCTTGGTGAGCTTGGCGTCCTCGGGGAAGGTGGGCAGCACGTCGCGGAGGGCGTCCAGCGCCGCGTTCAGGTTGTGCATCCGGTTGCGCTCGCGGTTGTTGGCCTTGAGCCGCCGGCTCCGCTTGATGCGCTGCGCCGTCTCCGCCGTGCGCGCCGCCCGCGGGGCGCCGCGGGACCGCCCCGGCCGCCGCTTCCCCTCCGCCCGCCGCAGCCCGCGGCCGCCCGGAGCCTCGACGGGGCGAGCCGGCGGGGCGGCGCGCAGCTCCTCCTCCTCCTCCTCTTCCTCCTCCTCCTCCTCCTCGGCGCTGGACGGCAGCGAGGGCGAGGGGGCGGGCGAGCCCAGCCCCAGCAGCAGCAGCTCGTCCTCGGCGGGCGGCGCCAGGACCTCCGCCTTCACCAGCATCCTTGCGCGGCGGCTGGACGGGGCCGCACCGGGCAGCACCGGGAAGCAGCGGGCGCGCTCTCCTCGCCTCTCCGGCGGTGTGACGGTTCGCCGGTTTGACGGAGCACCCCTTCCCGGCCGCTCGTCCTTCACGGGCCCGGCGAGGAAAGCGAGGGAGAGAGGGGTTGTGGGGGGCGATCCCCTCCGTACCCTCTCATTGCCCGCCAGGGTTTCGCCTTCTGGGGGACGCTTGGTGCTGTGGTAAAGGTGCGTAGGTCCGTGCGTGGCTTGCTGCTACGTTTGCATCAGGCAGAGCCCGAAGTGGGGGAAAGCCCGGCACTCCGGGCGTCTCCATGCTGTCAGATATAATTCACAGGCTGGAGGAGACCTTATTAAAAAACCCCAAACGCCAACTTGTCAGTGCACCAGGAAAACCTTCATTCCTTTCACCCCTCTTCCAGCCCTCTCTCAGTGGCAGAGCCTGGCGGCATGCCGCTGAGTCGGCAGGCTGGCTTTGCTCCGCAGACCACCTTCCACTATCCCAGGTTGCTCCAAGCCCTGTCCAACTGGTCTTGGACACTTCCGGGGATCCTGTGCCAGGGCCTCCCCACGCTCACAGGGAAGGATTTCTCCCAATATCCCATTTAAACCTCAGTGTGAAGGTGTCCCCTCTTGCCTGTCGCCCCAAGCCCGTGTCAAGGAAATGACAGTGAGAACGTCCAAAACTGAAACCTCAGAACACTCTCCTCTCCCTATGGAAACACCGTCAGCAAGGCACTTGGGAGTTGGGCTTTGAAACGGAATTTTGTTTGCGGCTGCTAGAAAAGCTCAGAATAGATGAAAGAGCTGGAGCCTCTGCAGAAGCCGTGCTCAGCACAGCACAAACTCACACCCAAAGCAGTCCCTCACTCTGGGTGCATGGCCTTGGGGAGCGATTGAGGCCGGGCGGGTGCCTCAGCATCTCTGTGATTCTATAAAACATTCTAACACTGCCTGGCTTCCTTGTGCAAAACGGGAGGCTCACAGCTCCCCTCGGCATCCCAGGGGAGTGACGCAAAAGAACCTTATTTCTTTTTCTGCACTTTGAGGGGACAAAGCAGAGTACACTTGTGACAGGGCCAGCCCATCCCTCTGTCCCCACCTTGCTTGCCGAGATTTCCGTGCTTCCATTGCTGGAGAGGTGAAGCACACCTTTTTTTTTCTGGGGTTCAGTCCCATTCCTGCTGCCAGCCCCTGCCATGCAGTGTTTATTTCCACAGGGTTGAGCACGAGGTGCCCAAGGACAGGTCGGCTGAAATCCTCAGAGCTCTGGAGAGGCGCTTGTGTGGTCTGTGGGCAGAGCGAGGACCGAGCTGCTCGGGTGGGCAGAGGAGGTGGCGGGGGGGGAGAGGGAGTGGGATCAGGAGCAGGAATGCTGCTGCCACTGCCCACCGCCTGAACTGTCCTCCAAGGGTCAAACTGTTCAACTCCAGCCCCTTTGCCAGACTCAATCCTACTTTAGGGGAACAAAAGCCCAGAGTAGGCAACGATCAAGAAATGGGAGCACAATGATTTAAGCTTATCACACAGCCTAGAAATAAAGGACGCTGAGCTCGTGTGGGGGAGAGGGGGAGACCTTCAGAAGGGCTTTGTTTGCTGTAAGAAGATTGAACTCTGAGGCGACCCGATAGCCCTAAAAGTTTAGGGTCTGTGTTGCTGAGAGACCTTTGGGCACAGCCCATCCACACGTCGACCTCACAAGTTGAGAGCCAGCCTTAATGGCCAGCCTGCCTCAGGTGAACAGGGGCACGACATCCCGGGAAACGCGGGGACAAAGCTGTGGGGACAGGGTGGCCTGACCCCTCCCCAGCTCTGCCTCCCTCGTACCCTGCAGTGTCCTGAGGGCTCGGGGTCCCAGGGCTGCCCACACACACTAAGGTGCCCTGATCCCTGTGTGATCCCTGGGCAGCACTACAAACCCTGGGAGTGGGGTGGTTGTGCTCTTAAGTGGGGTGTGAGAGTATGTCCCCACACAGCAGAGCACTGGGGTGCTCTGCGGAGGGAAGCCATCAAAAGTGCTGGGGTGCGTATCCCCCACATCCTGATCCAGGTCCTTCCCGAACACCCCGTGCACGCTGCAGCAAGCAGTGCCACGGCGAGGGACAAGACGAGGAGCAGCCCCCCAACTCCCAAGCTGTATTAGCACATTTGGGGTTTGTTCTGGGATCAAGGCGAGGAGGGTCCCCCCAGAAACGCTGTCCCGGCATCTTTCCCGGCTCCCCCCACCCCGGCCCTCGTCGGGGGCCGATTGTTCCCGGCGGATTTGCATGGCAGGTGCAGGCCTGCGGAGCGATTTTGCACTGCTGGCCCCCCGCCCCACCAAGAGGGTTTGCCTCCCCCCTCCCTTGTGAAAAAAGGCTGCCGGTGCCTTCCTTTCCCATGAAGAAGAGAAGAAGCTTGAGGATCGCGTGAACACGCTTCAGTTTTCTTATTCTTTTCTATAGATGTGGGGAAAAGAACAGCCGATTGTGTGAAAAACCCAGTGCCTGCAAAAAGGGACATTGGCCATCCAGGCGAAGGTGCGCGAGGGAGAGCACTAATCGCTGAACCAGGAGACAAATACGATTACCAGCTCCGAGCCTTGAGTCAGAAAGTCTCATAGACTTTAAGATGTTAATCCCCAACATAATCCTTCCTTTGGCGTGTAGGAATAGTGCAGCCACAAGAGTTGTTTTGTTATTTATATTGGCGTTTAATAAAACTCAGCCAGTGGTGAATGGGCTGCCCACTCTCCAATGGTAATTAATTCCCTATTTCAGTGACCCAATTGTGCTGGGATAGAGCAGTGGGACAGTCCCACTGCCCCAACCCGCCTTTGTGCAGCTACACGGCTCTCGTGCTTCAACAGCTATGGAAACTCATTCTTTTGATGTCATTCAATGAGTTTTCCTTGGGCATCTTCTAAACTTCAAGGACCCTTTTCTTTCTCGAACGCCTGAAAAGCAGGACTAGCTTGACCACCTCTGTAGAATTTAATGGTTTGGTGAAAGGGCCTTTTGGGGGGCGTCGGGGGGGTTTGTGTGAGGAAAGAGAGAAAGAAAATTTGGCAGGCTGGCTATCAAACAGGGGGATAGCCAAACTCGGGTGTGCCGAACTCACTCGGCTCCTAATTTATCCATGTCTAAAAAGCCACTTTTCCTTACTCAAAACACTTGGGGGCTTCTCTTGATCAAGGCAGCTCTAGAAGGGATTTGCCAGTGAGCGATAACTATTTTACAGAGCTGAGTAAAGACACAACTGGTGTTTCAGGAAGGAATTTCCATCCAGAAAAGGGAAAAACACCTGGATATTTTTGCCCAGAAGGGGAAGAATACCAGGCACCTGTAACAGGTTATCGGAATGAAGTGTGTCTGCAGGTTTATACTTTTTGTCTGTGTGGTGAGGTGGCTGAAAGCGAACACGTGAAGAACATGGAGTTATCCCGCAGAGCTGCCCCAGTCCGGGCAGCCTCTTCTATGTCTTTATACACACTTCCAAAAAAAAAAAAACCAAAAAAAAAAACCCCTTCGCAAGTCACAAACAATTCAGGATTCAACTAAGAAAACACAGAGTGAACCATATGGCCGGGGTGGCTCGAGTTGGCTGCATTTTCCCTCAGACAAAGAAGGGATTGAGAGTTGAAGGAAAGGAGAAAAAAACCCAACTTTCCGGCTGATGAAGCTGTTGTCTGGAGGCAATGATCCCAAATCTCAAGGCTTTATTCCAGGCTCCGACTGAGACGTGATATGTCATATGATTAGCATCTTTCATATTTACAAGAGTAGTGCGGGCTGCCAGTCTTTAGAGAAAGGCGAGAGAAAGAAGGGGCATATGCTGAAATGGATTTAGCATTTGAAAGAGAGAAAAGAGAGCGGATAAATACACTTAAACGAGGATTTAGTTTTACTCCCGTTGAGTTCTAATGGCTTGTTGATTGAGATTTTAGGGAGCCGGGACAGAGGTGTCAGCAGTAATTTAAAAGCGCCATTCAGCCCTCCCCCGGCGGAAGGAGCGGGCGCTGCCCCCTCAGGGCGGAGCGGTGCTGCGGCCGCAGTGGCGGGCTGGCGGGAGGGGCGCATCACCGCCCGGAGTGGCGGCTTCCTCCGCCGCGCGCGTGGCGCCATCTGGCGGCGGCGGAGCCCGCGGGAGCCTGAGGCGGCCGGGATCGGAAAAACCGGGAAGCGCACCGGGAATTCCCGGTGAGTCGGGCACCCTTCACAACGGACACCGCTGCAGCACTGCTCACAAGCACCGTCCAGCCTAGCCTCGAACACTTAGAGGCACGGCGCGGCCACAGCTCCTCTGGGCAACCTGTGCCAGTGCCTCACTGGTACTCCCATGGAAGAATTTATCCCTCACATCCCAGCTAAACCCATTCCCCCTTGTCCTGTCACTCCATGCCCTTGTGACAAGTCTCTCTCCAGCTCTCTTGGAGCCCTCACAGGCCCTGGATGGTGCTTAAGATTTCCCAAAAGCTGTGGAAGGAGTATTTTAATCGTTATAGCCAAGCTTCTTCCTGGTTGTCACCTACCTGTAAATATTGAAGGTGACAAAATTGCTCTAAAATACCATGGTGTTTTAGTCTGAAGAACAGTGAAACACCACTAGTTTAATTAACTAGACTGTAAGCATAAAAATATTGCACTTCTCAAGCAGAAAAATCACTCTATTTATGGTTATCGACCAAATAAAGTCACTTTAATAATTTTTAATCTTGTGACTACAAGATCAAACAGAAGTATCAGTGCGCTGAGGTCCAAACAAAAATACCCCACATTAAATAAATATTAGATTACAAATTACCAGAGCTATTGCTATAGACAAGCAGTTAATATTTTCTTCATAAAATCAATAGGTATTTTATTTTTCCTTTTTCTTACGCTGTTCTTCTTCCTCCCAGTTCTCCAGGTAGGACTTGAGAATGTCATTTAGCTGCTGCTCACACTGGCCTGCATGTTGTAAGCCATTTTCCCATCCTGAAAGCAGCAATAAACAGGATAATT